CCTTGCTAGAAACACTAAGGAGATACAACATTACGCCTTCACACCTTAGAACTCAAATATCCCATACAAGGTCTATATATCTAAAGAGCCTAAAGACATAGAAGCAAAGAACCACAAGGAACAACTAGTAGATAACAGCCTCCTGTCTATCTATTCTAATGCCTCAGCTACAAAGCAAGGCAAAGGTGTAGGAGTAGGGGTTGCATTCTATCTAGGAACAACACAAATAGCCCAAGAACAATATACTATAGGAAATAACCAACTAGTTTACAACGGTGAACTAGAAGGTATTACCCTAGGGCTAGAAAAAGCAATAGAGCTAGCAGAGAACTGTTTAGATATAAAAGTCTATGCAAATAATCAAGCTACCCTACTTAGGTTAAAGACTGCTTCTAATAATCTAGGCTAAGAATGGCAAATTAGATGTATAAAGGCAATAAAGAAACTAGAGGAGATAGGTATACGCCCTAGCCTTTACTAGGTACTAGGCCACCAAGATATCCCTAGGAACGAAAAAGCAGACGCCCTAGCTAAAGAAGCTACTAAGCTAGACCCTCCTTCTACTAGCAAAACTAGCCTAGCTATTACTAGCTCGCGAATTAAGTAGCTAGGAGAGAGAGAATAGCTAAGCTAACTTAAACAGTATAGGAAAAAAGCCACTAGCAAGAATCCACATACGTACGCAGCAAAATACAAGTAGAAGATAAGAAAGCAAATCGCTATTCCTAGCAATACTAGAAGAGAGATTTCTAGCGCTTTCTACTAGCTTAAACTAGGGCACTGTTACCTAAGGGACTACCTATATAAGAGAGGGAAAGTAGATTCTAATAGTTGCCCCTACAACTATAGGTCTATATAAGACCTACTTTATATTCTATTTAGATGTAATCTATATAGGGAGGAAAGGAAAGGACTAAGAGAAGCCTGCGAAGGCGATCTATTACTACCTATCCTCCTTTAAACAAAGGAGGGTATAGAAGCAACTATTACCTTTATTCAAGAAACAAAGGCTGGAACACAAGCCTAGTACAAGGGAAACACAGAAAACGAGGAGTAATACCTATAACAGGTAGCCATACACCTCCCCCACCCTATCCCACCCCCTACCTACTAACTAATAGGCTACAAGCCTTACCTTCATCTGGTTAAAACCCCTCCTAAATATTGTAGCTAGAAACAACTTACTTAGATACTTGTAGGCCTAAAAACCCTATACGTCTTATATAGCCCTTTGGGCTAAAAAAGGACGTTAAACTAGAATAATAATAATAACCATTCCAACCAGGTATTCATTCCAGCTACGTCAATTGCACGTCGCTGCACAAACTATTGCCTGTAGATCTGAAGACAACGGCGCACTTGGCAACGCAACTACAGTCATACTAGAAGACACTAACGTCCTTGATTCTTCGATACTAAAGCCCGATTTCGATGAACTCAGTGAAGATACAGACTTTGAAATTATGACTGCTGAGGATCTTGAGTGGACAGATGACGAGCTGATGGAATACGGGCGACCGGGTCGACGACGTACCGGCGTCAAACAAGGCTTGGTACCTAGGAGTGTTGAGGAAAAGGCTGACAACAACAGGCTTGGTGATTTGCTCAAGGGTAAGAGAGGCGACGGTGAAACCCAGAGTGGAGGAAAAGCGAAAGACAATCTCGTTAGGGAGAAAGCCCAAGAGACAATAATGAAAATTACGATGATAACAAAGATGGGGTGGGGAAAGAGAGCTACTAGTCCATTTTATAAATGAGAAACCAACATATCAATCTTCGCGACCCTCAACAAGGACATAAACAAAAATCCGGTTGTTTACTCTCTTCAAGGTAAGAAAGTTCTGTTTTACTATCGGCCCCACTAGCCTGAATTTCAAAATTCCATAACTAACAAATAAACATTAATATTATTCTCATCTCCACCACTATACGCCTGAAACGGACGACATATTAAGAAGAAAAAAACAAGAAGCCTCCAAACGCCCGACACATGTATGAAGCACGTCAACATGACAAAAAAAACCGAAAAATATAGAATTATAGTGAAGCCGCCCAAGTAGTTAAATAGCATTCATCTTGCCCATCTCCACGCCCACTTCATCCGTAGCCACACGCTCGCCATCAGGACCCCTCCTGCCGCCGCCCACAAACCCCCATATACACGCGCCCGCCACCAGCCACGCGGAAATGACGAGCGGAATCATGATAGCGCGGCCCGCCTCCTCAACCGCGCACTGCTTGGCATAGTCAGAGTGAGCAACGGCAGCACCCGGCACTGCTTTGAGCTCGCAAGCCCACGTCTCGAGGTCAAACATGCCGATGTCGTAGCGGAAAACGGGTTCTTTGTTGAGGGTGCTGTTGGCTTTGGAAGCAGCCACTTTGGCCACATATCCAGCGTCCCAGGTCGACGAGTTCTTGTGCGTCATGTAGATGGAGACAAGGGCGAACAAGACCATAATGGCGTTGGAGAGATGCACAAACATGGTGTTGCGGCGGAAAGCGTAGGACTGTGTCTATTTGGAACGAAAATTAATAAGTATTGGGTCTTTTTAATAGTGGTAAGTGGATATAGGGGCTTCAACGTACCCGCTTGCCGCTTTTCCAGTCGACGATTACAAAGCCGAGATGTGCGGTGGCTATGCTGATGGGGATGACTGCCGCGATGATGGCGAGTTTCGTTGGCACCGTGTAGAGTTTTCGTGGTAACGCGCCCATGACGATGGCCTCGCCTGTGTTGCTGCTGTTTCTGGGTGCTTCAAATGTGAAGCCGGTCATGCGGTTGTCTTCGACAAAGTCGTATGTGGCTGCCTTGAGTGTCACGAGAGTTATGGCCATGGCGAGGAGGAGAATGAGCAGAACGCTATGAAGTAGCCGCGATTTCCGGTGGTGCGGACATGAATTTGTATTGAGCGGCTTATTGAAGACTGGTGTGCCATTTTGCTGTGGATTTTGAACGAGGGACCGGATTTTGGCAATGACTGGCTGGAGTTGGGCGGCAACTTTGGACATGTTTGGATACGGTTGGGGTCTTGACCCTCCTCCTTCAACCGTGAGTACCTAGGATGCAGGTCCAAACCGTCCCGGATAAAATGGTCGACTTGGATAATGGTGTTTGGAACGAGGCTTCACGGAAGGATCATTAAGTGGGGAGATGAGGCAGTTGCCTGTGCGACGCTGTATAAGGCAGAAAGGACATAAGATTAGGACTGATTGAAAACAGGGACGCAGCTCGGCCAAATTACATATTATCCTCCATTATACCACACAAAATGGATAATAACATATATGCCACGTCAGCCACTCACACCGTACCGCGTGCTGCCTTAGGTTCTTTACTTTGAGCTTAACTGTCAATGCTTTCATACCAGCATCGAGCTACTCTGCAGTTTGGGTCAAGGGACGGTCTGCGCGGTCCAGCACATATTCGGGAAGGTCTGTATTTTTCCGCAATGCATGTGACAGGTGTCAAACACCTACCGTCATCTCACATTGGCTGTCGTTGAGCTGCGCGACACCAAGTGTAGGAAGTACGCAACGAGCACTGGCCCCCTCACTGCAGCGATCTTATTATCGCTCGTCGCAATAACATAGGCTGTTAAGTGTTGGAAATGTTCCTTGTACCCATTCATACGCTCGAGAGGATTGGAGCTGATATGCGACCCATGTTGGGCTCACGTCGTCTGCATGAAGGCGGACATAATACCCCGCGTTGCGTGTAGGAGTATGGGAACACCTTGGGCAAGGGTACCACAGAGAGGCGTTGTATCTCGCAGAGCATATTGGCAATCAAGTCTTTGCATGTCGTGCAGGCTTCCAGAGTGGCGGAACACAACCTGCGGCTGAGCTGGAGCTGCTATGCATCCAGAACAATGGGCATGATGCCAATGCCGAGGTGTGCCTCAGGCTCTGCTACACAAAAGATCGGTGAGGGAGATGTTTGACTGGGGTCTTGTATCGAGATCGGTCCATTCCGAGGTCTTTGGGAGCAACAAGTCGTCGTCGTGTGCTGTTAGAAGTCCGCGCACGGGTAAGCAAAACTCCGTAAATGCCATGCGCGAGGTAGCTCAGAGGAGCGCCTGAACAGTGGCGTGCATCTCGATTTATTCGGTTTCCGACGCTGATACTGAAACGCGAACCGGGGCCTGAGGGGCTCTTGGAAGGAGAAGCGGTCCATCGGCAGTGATCCCTCCTCAGCGGGACAGAGATGAGCGCTAGCACTGTCAAGGCGAGCTAGAATATCGCCGGTGTATGTCCAGATGGAAGATGGGGAGAATGAGGAGGTTGAGGGTTGACGTGAAGGATGACGGAGGTGCGGGTGATGTCACCAGTAGCCGGGCGCTAAGTGGGCGCAAGTCGCGGTCCACCCTCGACGCGTTTACACGACGTCCCGGGCCAACAACAGCAAAACCTCTCCACGCTTGCCATGGCCTTTACAGCCCTCAACACCAGGCCATCAGCGCCCGTCGTGCCAGTGCAGACTCCTGCGACGGCCCCGGCTCCTGCGCCAACTCCAGCCCCGGCCGCGACACGTGCGCCGCACCCCCCAGAAATCGATGCCGCTTTTGCTGGCGACCATGAACTGCGAAAGCGCGTGCATGCCGCCATAGGTGCGTCTCTCGTCATGATGTCCATTGGAATGCATGTTGATGCGTTGCGTAGACCAAGACCCCACACAGAGCACGCTATTTCGTGACATTTCAACATTCATCCTCAACCAAGCGCCACAACCGGCCGCCGAGCCAGCGACCAAGAAGCGCAAAATTGATGACGGCAATGGCGCGCAGAACAGCGCTTCCACGACTGCAGGAAGCCTTACGAGTGCGGCAGCCCAGGCATTTAAGACATATCCCGGCGTCAGCTTCTCGATGCCGCAGCGCAAGAAGTTTACCCTCGAACTAGTCGGCAAGAAGGATGGCGGTATCAGGGCGGTTGGCGCCAACGGGAGCATCGAGTTCGCAATGGCATGGAAAGACATTGACCAGATCTTCTGCCTGCCGGTGCCCGAGAAGGCGAAGAAGCAGCACAACTTTGTCATCGTTCCCGTCCATGGAGATGGCGTTGCCCCGGTCCCCGATGAGCTCAAGGCCTCGCCACCAGAGCCGATAGTCTGGACGTTTGAGGAAGCAACGGGAAAAAACATTGTCGAAGGCGAGGATCCAGGGCCAGCTCCAATGGCCGAGGCGATACAGCACTGCCTGACACAAGCAGGCACAGGAAAGGACGTTGTCTTTCCCAATGCCGACGAGTTCGCAAGCGCTGTCCCGGAGAGCCACCGGAAGGGCGAGAAGGCATACCATGTCAAAGCACACAGGGGCAGTAAAGAAGGTGCGCCCCTGCTCTCCATCGTGTGTGTACCTCATTCGTCCGCTAACGCCCACTAGGCTATCTCTTCTTCACCTCTGTAGGTATCCTCTATGGCTTCAAGAAGCCGCTCGCCTTCTTTGACTTTGCTGCCATTACCAGCATCTCCTACACCGCCGTCTTGCGCAACACATTCAACCTTGTCATCACCACCCCCACCGGTGATATCGAATTCGGCATGCTTGACCAGGCAGATTTTGCCGGCATCAACGAGTACGTGCAGAAACATGGCCTGCAGGATGCCAGTTTGGCAGACGAGCGCCGCGCCAAGAAGCTCAATGTGAACAAGGTGGGCGGTAAGAAGGACGCGGCGAATGGCGCCGAGGCCCAGGGAGCTGCAGAGGAAGAAGAAAGCGAGCTGCAGAAAGCGGAGAGAGAGTTGCAGGAGCAGGAAGAAGACGACGAAGAGGATGACGACGACTTTGACCCGGGGAGTGAGGGCGAAAGTGAAGGGTCGGGATCCGACACTGACGACGAAGATGAAGAAGGCGGAGGCTATCAAGAAGGCGACACCGCCGAGGTTGAGTATGATGAGGCCGATGCCGATGAGATGCAACACTGAATCTCACCTGCTACTTAGCACCAATCGCCTTTTTCTTTTGATGGTGTAGCAAATCTTTGTTGGTACCATATTATCTTTGTCCAGCGCAATCTCTTTGATGATATTACTGCAGGTAAGCCAGGGCTAGACTTCAAGAGTTTGAGATGGACATTCACTGCCTAAATCCCTGGTGTCATGGGTCTTAAGGCTGGATATTTCAGAAGTGACGCCACGGCCTAGCCACGCAAGGACACTTCAACGCCTTCCACGTTATCCGCCACTGCCCATTTCAACACCCTAATTTTCCGCGAAAGAAAGCTGCATTCTTCACCACACGAAGTAGACCGCGTCATTTCGCATTGCAGGGTAGCCATTCAACTTTGCCATACCCCTGCTACATCGATACATCCTTATCACAACCTCCTACAAAGCGCTTCAATCGATTCTATTTCACTCAACCTGTGCCTCAGATTGTCCTCTGCATACAAGCCACCATAAACATCACGCTGCTGACAGGTGGACATGAGCATCTTCTTCCTAGCTTGCGTCCTGGCGATATGTCTACCTATTCTCAGCGTACAACTTCCCCGCCTCTTTCGTCCTCATCCTAAACTCTCTACGTCTGGCTCAACACACGAAACAGAAAGCCGACCCCCGCTATACCAACGGACACCATCCCTACGACGGCGCTTACGATCGCGAAGGGCAACCGCTTCGTCACAAAGTTCGCGCGCGAAAAGTAGAAGGGAGGCGACGGACGGTGCAGATAGCGGAACCGGAGCGAGCGAAACAGGGTCGGAAGAGATCCACATCCAGCCGACATCGCCGACGAAACTACTGAGTCCAGGTCAGGAAGGGAAGGGGAAGGAAAGGGCCGATGGAAAAGAACCCGGGAGAAAGCCCTGGGATCCGCCATTCCCCAGACGCGTAGAGACAAAGGACGGCATCAAGGAAAGAGGTACATGGCGCATTATGCCTCCTACACCACCACGTAAGTCGGGGAGAGAGATGGAAGCAAACGGTGTGGCGAGAAGGCTGTTCCCGGCGGACAGCAATGACAACGGCGGGCATATTGACGAGGAACAACCACCACGCCGATCAAGCGAAGCCGAAAACCAGACAGTGCCAGTGTCTGTATCCCCGCCCACGCAGGATCCAGTGCCAGAGTCTGTAGCTCTCACCACAACCGACTCTCCCAAAGCAAAGAAACGACATGGAAAGAAGGACAGGGTGATGTCGGGTGTGTGGCTCTGTCTGGGAATCCTAGGATTCCTACTGTTTCTCTTCATATTTGCCATCCTCATAGCGCACTGCCTGGCATGGTTCCTGGTGTACAAGACGGAAGCGAGACTGGGAGATGCACGGCGAGGCATCATGAAAAGCGGAGATATGAGGCTTTGCTTATGCGCATCTTAAGAGAGCTTTGCATATTCCATCAATTCGCTAAGAACGCTAGAGCAGGGTACATAGAATAGGCCAAATTCATTCAACCTTTTCTCTCTCATCATACTCCTCACCATCACCTCGTCAGCGCCGAAGACCCAGGTTCTGCATCTGTCCCATCCTGCTCCCTATTCACCTTCTCCACATCCGAGTCCTGCGATGCCGCCATTGCAGAGAGCACCTGATGAGGCAATACTACTGGTCTCTGCACCTCTTCCGGATTATCCAGGTCTTCGGGCCAAGGAAAAATTGCCGCCTCTTGATCATCAAAGTCCTGGCCCGGATTCAGCGTCTCGTAATCCGCCCACTTGACTATTTTGTACACCACAAACGCCAACAGCGTGCCCATGACAGGCCCAAACCAGTATATGTAATGGTACTCTTGGAAATCGTGCGTAACAACACAGGGTCCGAATGTGCGCGCGGGATTCACACTGCCGCCCGTGAAGAAGACGCCCATCAGCTCTATGACGAACAGCGACAGGCCAATGCCAATGGGCGCCAGGAACGTCGCCTTGTGCTTCTCGGCGGCGAGCATGAAGATGGTGAAGACGAGCAGAGACGTCAAGAACATTTCTAGGAAGACTCCCCGTGCAGGCGTCATGCCGGGCCCTAGTGTCGTGCTGACTTTGAGCGGGCCGGGAAGAATAGCTTGGATTACGGCGGCGGCGGCCATGCCTGCGAGCATCTGCGCTATAAAGCACAGGATGGCTCGAGAGGCTGTGAGGGCATTGATGAGGTAGAGGCCTAGCGTCACCTAATACACACTGTCAGTTCTCCATCCTATATCATCTCGTTTTCCAAGACCGAGTGCGTGGGTAGCCGAGACAGGACTTACGGCGGGATTGAATAACCCTCCAGTCACCCTGAAAAATATCCACACATTCACCATCAGACTGAATCCAAATGCCAGACTTATGTAGAGCAGTACAGCCGTGTTGGCGGCTTCTTCTGTCGTTCTGCCAAACGTGTCCGTCTTTCCTGCTCTGGTGGCCTCTGCGCTATTGTTCGCGATGCTCGTGCCGCCAAACGCGAAGAACAGAAACATGAATGTGCCGGCGAATTCAGCGAGTGCAGCTATGATTGTGTTGCGCCATTGGGGCGGTATCCGTGGTGATTTGGTCTTTTTTGGCTTGCTGCCGTCGCGGGTGACGGGGGTCTTTGTGTCCCCGGTTTGCGGCCTGGAAGTGTCGCTGTCTGGGTGGGTGTCCTGTTTGTGGAAAGGGAGGATATTCCGGATTTTCATGATGGGCTGTTGGTGGTGGTTCGAAGCAAGCTTTTGTTTAGAGTCGATAAGGGGGTTCGTGATGAAGTGTGGAGGCCGGTGTGTAGTCTTTAGTCAAAGAGGCAGGACACCATGAAAGCGAAGTTCGTGGCTCGATATAATGTCTTGAATGAACAAAAAAGGGGAGGGGGGCTCTAGCAGTATTTCGAGAATGCAGTTTGAAAATAACGCGGTGAGAGAAATTCCAGGAGGCATCATAGGTGTACGGCACCAGAGGCAAGATCTTCGTACGCAGCGGCACTACCATGACCGCATCATTCCTAACATTTTACGGCCTGGCGTGCGTTCATGAGCTAATCACGGGGTAGGTTCCGCTACGACTTATGCCTAGCCTAGGTCTTAGCTGAGCACATGTTCACCATGGAGGTATGATGTCTCCTGCTCTCCCTCGCACAACTAAATACAAAGTCCTCCATTGAGCACCACCACCTCTCTCCTGTATACGAAATTCATTAACAACCCCTCATTACATCTGAGAACGAAAGTCATGTACATCGTGGTGCGCATCGTAGTTTGCCCTGCCAATAGCAAGGAGGTGGCAAAAGCTGTCTATGCTAATAAGAAGCGCCTATTTAGCTCTAGCACAGCTCTCTTTTAGATCTGCGCTCCATGTGGCGATGTTCAGAAATGAGCGTGAGAACAGAGATCGTAATTAGTCAGAACTCTATTATTTGAGGGATATTTATGTCTCCTCCTCGACGCTTACCGGCAGGACAAAGTACGGTGCGCACCACGATGTAGACCAGGTCTCTGCTGTCCTGCATAGGATCCGCCGTCGCTCCACTGTCTAGAATCCCCCCACCACACCTTGGTATCGTCAACGTCATATCCACATCTGCAAATCCGCGGAAGATCGCAAAAAGGAAAACGCGCCCGAACCACACATCTCGCAACCACAACTCCATTTTGAAAAAAAAACACACGTCAACCCAGTGTCATGACCCGGGATGCGAATCCTGAGGGGCCCGCAAAGACGGCAGAGGCCGCACAACGGTTTCCACGTCTGCCTTCTCTTGCAGAAAAGAACGCTGTGGCGTTACCGCCTCATCAAAAGAAATCAATCAACGACCCTCAGAGCGCCCTGGGAAATTGACATATTGGGTTTAGCACTTGCTCGCTTTCTTTTGATGAAGTGCTGGCGTGCAGCGTGAAGCACTAGCGCAGCTCTAGCGAGCATGTGATTGGCTGTGTGGGCTGTAGATCTGTAGATCGGTGTGTGTATGTGAATGCACGTGGGTGTCGCGGTATCGTTGCCGCGGAATGGCGTTCGACAAGCCGGGGTTTGCACGTGAGGGTATCTGGGCATGGTTTTGGGTACGTGCAATGGGGTAGGGGTTGGTAAGAGCGGAAAAAGAAGGATATGCGCGTTATGTACGGTGTGTGTCGATGGTGTTGTGTCGACATGGCTTCTGCGAGATTGCGAATGCAGGTCGTGGGTGTAGGGATAGGAAGAGGAGCTGAAGCTCAAGTCTCCATGGTATATAGAATTCGCTTGCTTGATTGGTTGGGTTTATGGCTGGGATGCGTTGATGTCAGCGGGGTGTAAGCCGTAGGATGTGATGAATCGAGGATACCAATACGGTGATGAAGAATGCTATCGATTGGACGATAAGGAGTTGATGTCAATATCAAATACAGCTGTGAGCGGCCCTATTCGTTGAGATGTTGTCTGTTACTTCTCATAGCACGTGAGCATTACCAGTTACTAACTCAGCTGATGGTCCAACTATTCGCCTGCAGCTCCGTGTCTGTACGTGACTCATGGCTGATTGTCTCGGGAGAGAGAGGTATATATCGATGGGCAGTAAGGCATTAAACCACACCGTCACCACGTTGATTACTATATCATTAGCAACCTGGACTCTTACCTGTTCTTCCTTTTCACTTGCGGATCTGTGCACTAGCTGTCGAAAATTCGTCTTACTACCAAACTCATTCTCTGTGGAGAGATTAGAACTTTCTTTATATACGACCTACTGTCAATTTGTAATTCGGCGTTCTAGTGCGTCCAAGAAGTGCACTATCTATGTCTCAGGCAGGACCGCCTACAACATGCTTATGACATCGCATGTTGATATATTCCAGCTCGATTGGCGCGGCTACTGGAAAGATCTAGTGTTATGCACGGAAGTTGTTGAGAAAGTCTTCTAAAGATAGGCAATGGGCTTTGTCTACCGAGGTACGCCCTGCCTGAATCAGGTAGAGTTTCTCGATCATCCGTGATGCATATCCAATTACCCATGGTTGCACAATTGCATTAGAAAGCTGTGATATAGGCGCCCGCTGTGTACCGCGTGGGTGTTGGCCGTTCGCTTATCGCCGGTAGGCGTGCATGAACACCCCAAATGCCTGCATCTTTATCAGCTGACATCCATGACAGATGCATCAACGTTGACTTTCAACCATGGTACTTCAGCTGTTGCTACGTTGACGCCAAAAAATCCCAACCCTAGCGTCCATATCGAGATTGTTTGTTAGTTACGATGAATCTGGGTTAGAAACAGCCGTGACACTTTTAGGGCATGTAGAGTACATGCTTTCTGGTTATACTGTAGTTGAGCAATATTTGGTCATAGTTGGTCACGTACATGGAATATAACTATTCGCAATAGTGATGGAGCCGAAGACTTGATTGTAGGCTTGGACATCGTGATCCATTTAGCATAGCAGTCAGTAAATGAGATAATACATATGGCACTAAGGGTTGGGTCAGATGATCGCATCCGTAAAGAGGGCCGGGCCTTTCTAAGTCCCTTGCATTGACCTGAATAGAATTGATATCCTGCTTACCTTGTCTAAGCTTATCTCCTTCTACCATTCCATTACGTGAATACCCGATGGCATGCATATACACTTTGAATGATGCCCAATCTTCCCAGCCGATGATGAACACAAGTGTATTAGTCTCAATCGAAGCCTCACAATATGCATCGTATGGAGAATTCAGCCCAAGAGTAATTTTCCTAACCGCTTATCCCTCCAGAGCTTCTAAAAAGCGTCTCCTGAGGAAAAAAAATCATATTGTTTGCAGAGCCGAAGTAAGAAACAATTCTGCTCCGCAGGTTTGTATGAGCGGCCAATATTACCCGTATCCAGCCGAAAGATCCGTGCGATTGCTAGTGAACGCAAGTACATGGAGGGCTGCATATATAGCCCCACGCGAGAATGACTCCTGAGCTGCATCGATCGGACAGCCGGTAGAGAATTGCTGGGATGCTCAAATCAGACTAGAGAGTCGTTGAAAGATGACACATCCAACACAATGAGCAATCCTCCACAGAGTTGGAAAATCTTAATCACTCGCTCAACATGATGAATAAATTCCTCGTGTTGTAGTGTCACAAGACATCGCCATGGCAAGACGGGAAAAGCCCAGTACCTGCTTCGCTCAGAACGCAAACCGGGTATTCAATGTCCTCAACAAACGGCGAGGTTTCTCAACACGGCTAGGTACTGCGTGACCGAGCTTCCGTCCAAGATCTTGGGATACTCCAGTGATGAACCTGCGATCTCCTCTCCGCATGAACTACAACAGTGATCTTCGGTGGCGCGCTGTCACAACCCACTCGCCTTGTCATGATATGCTGTCGCAAGCGCTTGGTACATGTCTCATACCTCAATCTCTTAGCACATCAACGCCAAATGCGCCGGTCATTGAGCGGTCCACTTCATGGACCAAAACCCCTATTTGTACACGGACTAGATCATCACGTATTGTGTCTCATTATGTTGCTTGTTCTTCGCATGTCCTGAATTAGCAACAGCTGTGTGATATTCCTGGGCACTGGAAATACACTTCTTTTTATCAACATGCCCCCCCTTCAACAACTGGGGCGCAGCACGGGAGTTCCATGGCAGCGGTCCCGATAGCGATCCTAGGGGCCTTGCGTCCTGTCTCGAGGGACTGTGTGCCGCAGTCATTCGGCTATCCCGCCAGCCGTTGATCGCCACTGCTTAGACCCAAACTTGGCTAAAAATCTGGCTGGCCGAACTATCTATAGAATTTACTCGGCTTACTTGGCTCATAGATTGTGTGAACTATGAGGCGCTACTTCGGCTTGGGAAGTGGGAAGAAATGTATCAAGGCCAAGAGCTCTGCGGTAGCAAGTGATGCTACTAATGCACCATATGACCATTAACCTTTACGTGAGGCATTGGGTGAATGACGATCGGCAAGAGGTTTTGCCTGACCCTGTAACGGTCTAGAATGTGAGAAGCGTGTTTCTCCTGGTAGGAGAGAAAGAAACAAGGGCGGGTTGACGTGCGGAGTCGGGCGTAGTCTCGGTCCCACCCGCAGTAACCGCCAGCACGCTACGCACCATCCCCTGGTCAATCACTGCTTTCGATACACGACAACTCAACCACAACCACAACCACCACGCCCTCACAACCCATCACTACCCAATCCAACCCAACCCGATCGCAAGAGCCGAGACAGGACAACATGTTCCATTGCTGCTGGCAATCGTGTCAGGGAAACAGATTCGGCCTAGCTGCTCACGTCCCTATCAATGGTGTTTCGGACTACCAAGGCCGATCGCGTACGCCACTCGGCTCCCCAGGTCAATTCCCGTCGCTGACTGTGCATGCCATGACAAGTGCACAATTGACCCTCCGTTCTTGCAGGTCTGCAGGGCATTTTGCATGCGGGCTATGTACATGGGGATAATTGACTGGTTAGGGTCTCACCGGCATGGCTATTGATAAACATAGCTGGCAGACGTCAGACCGGAGAGTCGAAAGGTATGAGGCGCAGAAGTCAAAGAGTGTAACATCGGTGGTTTTGAGCCCGGGACGCCGATGCTTTTGAGGGTGCTGAGTGGTGTAGGAGAGAAGCCTGGCATTCGTCAGCGTGCTTCGCCGCCTTACAGAGGCCCGCCTTGTACGCTGTGTGACTGCGGACTGAGGATTGTGCCTTCAGGTTTGAGCATCGCCGACGATGCGAGCGTGTGCCCTCTTCTTATTTCAGTTTCACAATGCCTTGAAACTAGACACACAGTGCCTTTTGCTTCATCCCTTATAATTGATCTTGATCAAGAGGTTGTGCTTAGGCATCATATATCAAGACGAGCTGCTCGACACTCACGCACGCGCAGCCTACCAGCTGAGGTCCACATACACGGAGCTTCGGCGCCACCACGACGCACCCCCCTCACCCATTGACCGAGGACCGATAAGGAAGAATCAATATTGATATTGGCAAGGCGGCATGGCGCTCCCTCCAATCGTACCGCGGTTTCGCAGGGGCCCAGGCCCGGTGTCTCCCGTCTCAGCTCGGACGTCTAGCGACTTTACCTTTACGGATGCAGCGTCGTCTCGCGTCATTTCCCTTGACGAGCGCAATTTGATTGCAAGTATAATCGCCGATCTTTCCGACAGCTGCGAGACGGCTTTTGCTCGAGCACATTTCCAAGCACACGAGTGGGGCCCACGGTATTCACATCTGCGAGAGCAAGATTGCTACGACCGACCATATAGCAGACGATCGCGACCACGGACCCAAGGCACCGCCACATCATACACGCCTTCAAATCTGCGCGAGGACCTCCGTGAGATCCGACCCTATCTGCGTGAAAGCACATTGATGGCACTAGAAGGAATATTAGCAAACGGCATCGGTATCAGAGACAACATGGCTAAAACCCCCAAAACCCCACTCACTCCACTCACTCCTTTGTCACCGCAGTCAGAAGAGGGCTACTACGTGCCCGTTATACTCGACTCCTCCCACCCGTCCGGACGCTCGACCAGAACAAACAGCGTCAAGTTCGACGACTACGTGGACGAGCCTGGAGCTTCGACACGCGACAAGAGACCGAGTGCTAAGAGCATCTTGCGAAACGCCCATAACGCAATGGACGAACAGCCAGACAGCCAGCAGCCGCCTGCTGAAGGCGAAACGGCTCCCAGGACACCGGCCGCGCCCGTCTACCCATCAAAAGCGAAAACGGCAGTCATCATGGTGTCACTGTACATTTCCATTTTTCTCGTGGCTCTCGACCGGACAATCATGGGCCCTGCGATTCCAGCTATTACAAACACGTTCAACAGCATAGACGACATTGGATGGTACGGCAGCGCGTACATGCTCACAGCCGCGGGCTTCATTCTGCTGTACGGCCGCGTCTACACGTTTTTCTCCACCAAGGCGGTTTTCCTGTCTGGCATCGTTTTGTTCGAGGTTGGCAGCGTGATTTGCGGCGCGGCCACGAGCAGCACCATGCTCATCATCGGGCGAGCAATTGCAGGTCTCGGCAGCAGCGGCATCTTCACGGGCGCCATTCTCATCATGCTCAACACGGTTCCGCTCGAAAAGCGGCCTATGCTGCAGGGCCTTTTCGGCGCGTGCTTTGGTGTCGCGTCCGTGGCTGGGCCCTTGCTCGGCGGCGCCTTCACTCAGAGCTCGGCTGGGTGGAGATGGTGCTTTTGGATCAATCTGCCGCTGGGAGGCATCACCCTTTTGGTTGTGTTTTTCATGCTCAAGCTGGAAGAGAACAAGTCGAAGCTCAAGACGTGGGGCGAAACGATACGACAGCTCGACCCCGTGGGCACCGCGCTCTTTCTGCCATCCATCACCTGTCTGCTGCTCGCGTTGGAATGGGGCGCGGCGGATTACCCGTGGTCGTCACCGAGAATAGTTGCTCTTCTGGTCGTCTTTGCGGTGCTCCTCGTTGCTTTCATTGCATGGCAATACTTTACTCGCCACACAACGGCTACTATTCCTGCACATATCGTCCTTCAACGGAGCGTGGCTTGTGGCGGCGCCTCGCAGTTTTGCGTGGGAGCCACGATGCTTACGGTTTCGATATACATTCCCCTCTGGTTCCAGGCGATCAAGGGTGTTTCAGCAATGCAGTCTGGAATCAACACCATCCCGCTCGTTCTCTCGGTGGTGGTTGGCTCCATCCTCTCTGGTGGCCTGGTCCAGCGTTTTGGCTACTACACTCCGTTTATGATTGTTGGGTCCATTCTGATGGCTCTCGGTGTTGGTCTCATCACCACCTGGACCAAAAACACGGGTACCGGCATGTGGATCGGGTACCAGATTATTGTGGGCTTCGGAGTGGGAAGCACCATGCAGCACCCCAACATTGCGGTCCAAACGGTGTTGCGGAAGCAGGACGTGCCAATCGGCACGGCTATTCTCTCGCTGTGCCAGACACTGGGTGGAGCCGTCTTCACGGCAGTGGGCCAAAACTTGTACATTAGCAAGTTCACTGAGGGCTTGGAGGCGATTGGCGGCATCGTCCCCCAGCGCGTGCTTGGTGCCGGAGCAACCGACCTCACCAAGCACGTTCCGCCGGAGATTGTCGATAGGGTCCTAGACGCATACAATGTAGCGTTGACCAAGGGAACCTTCTTCGCGGCTCTCATCATTGCCTGCTTCGCACTGCCAGCGGCACTGGGCATGGAATGGCGCAGTGTCAAGAACAAGCAGGAGGCGCAACGCGCACCCACAGATGTGGAAAAACAAGCACCTGATTCCCAGCAGCCTCAGAGCGTCCTGAGGACCTCGGAATCCGGCAGCTCAGAGGCAGACGATGTCAGTACCCCGTTGCCTCCTCCGCCAGTGCCGTCGTGGCGGAAGACGTTCCGAGCCAGCGGGCACTTCTCGTCGTACCTGACGGCCAAGGTCAACCCCGATCTCCGTGGTGAATTGCGCGCGTCCAGATAGACGGGCGGCGAGGGCGAGTCTAATGTATAATCTGCCAATCCCCCCCCCCAAACAAGAGGTTCGCGTGGCCACGCGAGGGCCATTCGAGTCATTTCCATTCCTTTACATGCGCGCCCGGCCGCTTCCGGGCAGCATGTGCATATTTCCTAATCACCACGTGTATAGTAGAGGTAAATGAAGCAAAAAAGCGTATGTACGTAGTTTATCTGTCCACGGGGCACATGTTTATGCAGCAACCAATATTTTATTTTGTCGTCGAATGCGGGCCGTGCCAATCGTCGTGTCCCAATGGGTGCCGTGAAGATGCATGCCTACATGTACATACATAGACAGATCATGGACGTAGGCAGGCAAGAAAAAAACCGGGCGAACCCGCAGACCAGGCGGGCACAGAACCGCAGCCATGGCGGATGCGGCTGAGATGTGCCCTGTCCCGGTTGCTACGACCAAACAAGCAAAGCCTAGCTTTGGGCAAAGCTTGACAGGCCATGGGCGCGGAGATGAACGCTAGGCCCACGGGTTGCTATCTCTGTCTCTGTTTCTCGACAGCAATATCGGCGACGGATGCAGGCTGCACAGTCAAGACGCGATAAGCAGCTATTCTCGTATTCAGCTACGCCACAGGGTCATGTGAAGGGCTTGTTATACGGGCTGGCAATATTAAGGTTCCCACGGCCAAGGCTGGATAGGGTTGTGGTGGTTGGCGCCACGCATGTCATTGGCTGGCTGCCCGTCTTCCTCCAGGCGTCGTGGTGAGGATCGCCAAGTACAAGCAACTATCGACCGACGAAGAAAAGGAACCTGGCTTGCGTGCCGTCGCCCGGGCTGCGACAACCTACAGCGCCGGCGTGAGAGGCCTGGCCGCCAAGCGCAGAATAGACATTGCCAACCGGGCCACCGACTCGTGAGCCACGGCGTGTCGACGTGGGTAAGACGTGCAGAGGGCGAAGCGGCTGACGCTAAGTACGCCTGAACTATACCGACTCGCAGCCGCCAACGAATAACTCAACGTGGTCAGGAAAGCCTATATGGCGTCCCTCTACGGTTCCCCGCAGTAGCCCTGGGCGTCTCAGTGCGGCTGCACTACCCAGTTGCAGGCAAGCTCAGCCCCCCCCCCCCAAGGTTACAGCCTGAGTGTTGAGTGTTGAGCCCCGATTGGGAGACGCCCAAGGCCGTGCGGATCAGCCAGCTCAACCTTGCCAAAAGGAACCCCCGCTTGTGCCACCGTTTCCACCTTGACAGCGACCTGTGTGTGTGTGGGTGTCGGAGATTATAGAGGAGAGACGAGTCTGACCGGCCCTGCATAAAGAAAAAATCCTGGCTCGGAGGGAGGGCGCAAGAGCCCTCCCCTCCGTAGTGCCTGTGTGTATAAGGACCGTGTCGAAGCTGGCATTCCTCAGGCAATAAAAGGTCCAACCTTTAAGCCTCCTCTTCACTCGCTACCCACACCCAAATACCCTCCCTTTCCCTTCTTTTTTTTTCTCTCCCCCCGCCTCCTTCTAAACGACACCCTCACAGATATCCCACCATGACGACCCGGTCTATCCATGTCGTACTCAGTGTGGCGTGGCAGGATGCCGGAGATACCACGCGAGCCATTGCCATGGCCATTGCCTTCCGCGACATGTGCCCGCCGGATGTCGAGCTGAAGATTGACTTCCTGTCCTGCGGTGCGCGGTTCGAGTATCAAATCACCGACGCTGGCTTCAACATTGTGCCCGCCCAGCCCCGCGTCAAGGGTATCTCAGTCGCACACGACCTGGGCTGGGACTGGCCCGAATTCTTTGGTTCCGAGGAGATTGCCAAGTCGTTTATCGACGGCCAGCTGGCTGCTTTCCGCGAGCTGAAGCCCGACATTGTCTTCCATGGTATGTGGGCTCCGGCCTCGATTGCTGCACGTCTGCTCGGCATCCGGACCATCAACTTCTTGCCCGTGCCACTGCACCCGGGAGCCTTTGCCCATGGCTTGATCAGGGATCTCCCCGACGTGATGCCGCTCTTCACCCGTCTTCCTCGACCAATCCGCCAACGGGTGGCATGGTGGGCTAGCGGCTTGATGATCAAGGCCCCCATCTTCCAGCAGAAGCGGCTTGGAGCTGCCGCCGCCGCCGCTGGCTGGCACAACAAGGGCCCCATTTCGCTCTTCGACATGAACATGGCCGACCTCAACCTGGTCAATGACCATCCAGTGTTCCACCAGGAGTACCTGCACCGCATCCCCAAGAACATTGTTCTGACAGGCCCGCTGTACGCACGCAGCGACGCAAAGCTCGATGACGACATTGCACACCATCTCACAAAGGGACCGGGCCCATCCATCCTCGTCACCATGGGTAGTTCCGGCACGGAAGAGTTCCTGTTCGAAGCCATCAAGGCCCTCAACATGAGCCCGGACGACAACTGGAACGCCGTTGTGCTGGCCTCGAAATCCATCTGCGACATCGACAAGGCCAACGAGATCGCCGCCGGTGACGCACGCCTGCTGGTGACGGACCGCTTTATCCCCGCGTCTGCCGCCAACTCTCTTGCCGACCTCATCGTCACCCACGGAGGCCAGGGAACCGTGCAATGCGCGCTGGCGGCCGGCAAGCCCATTGTGGGCGTTGCTCTGCAGGTGGAGCAGCAAACGAACCTCGACAACGCCATGAATGCCGGCGCCGGTATCCGTGTCCAGAAGCAGCTGTGGAAGGCCAAGAACATCCGCAACACCATCCTATCCGTCATGAAGGACCCCTCGTACGCCGCCAACGCAAAGATCCTGGCCGACAAGCTCAACGCCATGGACGGCGCCAAAACAGCCGCTGAAGTCATGTGGAAGTTTATTCTCGAGGAGCAGCCCGAGAAGGTCAAGTCGTAGATGTTGCTGTCAGATTAAGGTTTAAGCGGGAAGCGAGGGAGGGTGGTAGGGGGGGGGGGGTTGTGCTCTTATGATATCAACTATAACCCGGAAATTTTTAGAAGCATCGGGGGGATCCAAGGGGGGGGGGCGTAAACGGCATGGGGGAGCATTTTCGTTTTTGTAGTCTCTCTAGTAAATGTTTTTGAGCGTTGATAATCCGAGAAGACACTATTTTTTTTCTCTATAAACTGGTTGGGGGTTCCAAAGGAGTGTGTGAGTGAGAGAGACACAGGGGCACGGCTCTCATTTTTGTGCAACATGAGTGTATGTGTGAGTCCCTTGCCGATGTCGTCGTTTTTTTTCTGCAACACGTCGGATTGAGAAGAAGAAAATACAGATGTGATTGATTTAGTACTTAAGCGACTTGGCGAGGTGTTTTGCCAGTGTCCGTCAGTGGCTTCCTGGGCATCTGGGCTGCTATCATTGTGCATGCCATTGTCCAATGCCTTCATTGCCGAAGTGCGGATCGCGAAGCCCGCTGGCACATCAGAGGGGAGGGGAGGGCTTCATGCAGGAATATCTACATTGTCACTTGGTTGTGGTTCGTCGAGAGGGGCTGGACTGCATGTGGGTCCATTGGAAAAGACAATGCTGGATTTTGTCATGTTCGTGGTTGGCATCAGTCTCAGTATCCTTGGCTTGAGGCACACGAATTGCTTTGTCCATGGGAGACGCCAAAAAGTGACGTGATGGCGTGTCAGAGTGTCAGACTGAAAAGCAACAGTGTGGAGTTGCATGTGTAGGATTCATTGTATTGCTTCCAGTAGATGTGTACCAATTCGGGTATTAACCCAAGACAATTTTGAGTTGCAAGAGATAAGGCCGTCCGCGGAGAGGCTCAGGGCTGCGGTACTATTTTGCCGAGACGGCAATACTGATACCTATAGCGGGATTGGACGTGCAGACGGAACTATTGGGCCTGCACCAAGTGGCATCGAATAGTTGGTGTGAACTGTTATCTCGATTGAGATGTGCATGCATTCAATGATTTTCCAGCCATGATATCTTTGTCGTGTTCTGTGTCTGGTATTTCTATTCACCCCCATATTCGCTCCCCCCTCGACCCTCTTGCTGAGCACAACTTCCAGCACTCGTCCTTCCAGCTCCAGCCTGATACGCCACCAGAAGCCTGTCTGTAGAAATTGTATTGACAACCAGCATGAAACATGTCACAGCGGCACTCGCCCGTCTGCCGTCCGAAGCAACATCAGATGGCGTCTCATCTAAGGCGGGGTGAGGGGGCGGCCAATGCACGACATATGGGCAACCCCTCCGTGGATCCCATCACCCCGCCGCCTCACACGACCCATTTGCGGCACGAGCCGCGCAAAGCCTGCACCCACACCTGCACCTGCACCCACGCGCCCATCATTGTCGGTGTCGACCACAAAAGCACCTCGCCAGCTCACACGATGCGCATGCCCTCTGGCGGACGACGACAGATATAACCATCTACACCTACATCATCGCCATCCGAGGCAGCGTCTCAGCCCAACGCACCCCACCCGAGCAGCCAATCACGCCCCGCTACGTCGGCCGTCTCCATCTTTACCACTGGCCGCCGAGTCACGGCAGCCGCGAGCAGCACCGGTAGCAGCCCAGCTTGGCCCTGCGCGGAGCCCAAAACAACGCCTTCTTTTAACTGCTAGCATCCCCCCCCCAGCTTTCCCGGGCCACTTCTCGCTCCGTATCCTTGGAATCAACAGTGTCCCTCTGCCACGCATCCGATCCATGGCCGAATTAGTTGTTGCCGCGGCCGCTGCCCCACCGCCCTTGACGTTTCGCGAGCGCCTGGCCCAGTTTAGGATCCTCGAGGAAAAGAGGTGCGAGCTCATCGAGGTATGCATGTTGGAATGTTGCACGGTATTGCTAGGGCCTACTGTGCACATGCTCACCCGCGCCTAGGAACTGCTGGACAAGCTCGAAAAGACAGAAGCCCGCCTCACCCAGACGGAACTCGACCTCGGCTCAGAGCAAAATGTCCGCCGGACGCTGCAGGCCGAGATTGCAGAGACGACGCGGACGATGCAGGCCCAGATAGACGAAGGCAAGGCAAAGGAGGAGGCCCTGGTGCAGAACCAGTCCAAACGACCCTTTGTGCTGGTGCTTATCGACGCTGATGCCGAGGGGTTTCTGGTACGGACCCTCCCCCGCCAATAGATGCAGCTGATAAGTCTGACAAACTTTATGCAGTTCCAGGACAAGTACATAACTCGCAAGGCACAAGGCGGCGAGTCCCTGGCCGACGAACTCAACCTCCGCATACGCGAATACCTGCGCGAGCAGTTTGAAGATGCAGACTCGCTCGACATCATTGTGCGTGTCTATGCCAACCTCGAGGGCATGGCAAACTACCTCGTCCGCCTCGAAAAGGTCCGGAACCTGGGTCAGCTGCGTGCCTTTTCCACGGGCTTTTGCGGACGGATAACGAGCTTTGACTGGATCGACACGGGCGTGGGCAAAGAAGGTGGAGCTGGAAGAAAAGTCAGAGGTATGGGTTCCATATGTAGAGCAGATTCGCCCGAGTTAACATACTAATCTCTGCACAGAAAACCTGTCCTTCTTCGCACTCAACACGCATCTCCGCCACATCATCGTAGCTTGCTCGCCCGCCGACCTTCCTGCTTCACTGTTGACGACGATTCCACTGGAGAAACTGACGCTGATCGAGTCGCTCCCCTTGCCCCCGTCACTCACGTCACTGCCCATCAAGACAGCCAAGTTCCACTCGCTGTTCCCGCCACCACCGCCGCCCAAGCCCGCAAAGCCCGCCCGCGGCTCCAGCGAGATCGACGTGCGAAGAGGCGACCGCGACCGCGAGATGCGACGAGGCGACGAGCGAGGAGCCGGTCCCCAACTCCAGCTCATGGAGCAAGAGCACGACGGCGGAGGCTCCACATGGCTTGTCATCCAGCCCGAGCGAAGCAAGAGCCAGGTCGTCGACCGCCGCAGTGATCGCGACAGAGACAGGCGGAGGAGAGCTCCCAGCGAGGACGACAGCAGCAGTTTGAGCATTAGCATTGGGCCTGACAATACGGTTAGCGTTGACAGTGGACGTAGGCGGAGGATCATGGGATAGATGATGGATGGGCGTCTTTAGCATGGTATAGCGGAATCGTAGCATTAGCGTCTCTTTTTTTTTAACTATCAACAATCAGTTACTACCCGTATCTTGTTCTTTTTTTCGAGTATTTTGGTAGCAAAACGGGTTTGTCACGTGGTGGGCAGGCAGTCTTTCAGCAAACGGACACAAATGAAAACGCAGAGAGAGGGGAGAGAGAGAGAGAGAGAGAGAGAGAAAGCTTCATTCGATTCTACCAGGGTATAAGATTCAAAGAAGCACCAGAACATAGAGGACCAAAAAAAACACAGACAAAAAACGACGCGTAAACACCACCTTTGCCCTCCTGTGCCCATCCCATCCGATTCCGTTCATCCCATCCATCCATGACGAAAACGCCTCTCCGCATTCTAAGCCTAGCCTAGCCGAGCCCAGCCATTCCAGTCCGCTTCCCCCCTCACCTCTCCCTTGGAAGTGCAAAGACCGAGAGAGAAAAAGAGAGGAGAGAGAGGGCAAGTAGACAACAAAAAACACAAAAAAAAAACGCACACACACACACAAAATTGCACCCCCTACCGATTCCCCCCCAGCCCCCAGCCCCGATTTGCCATGCTATTGTAAAGGCACACCCCGGATATCATGACATGCAAGCACCAGCAGCAGTTCCAAAAAAAAAGACGCAAAAGAACAGACAGACAGACAGACAGACAAAAAAACCGCCTGTTAGAAAACCCCCCCCCCTTTCTTCAGTCTCGATTGGCATGGAGACTGCCCGCCAGATTCACACGAAACATGTGAGTAAAACAAACTAGAGAAGAAGAAGAAGAAGAGAAAAACTCAGGATGTCAAGTCTGCGAATCGGGCTTGGGGTCGGGCTTATTTTCAGCCTTATTTTCAGGCTTTTCGTCGGGCTTGTCGTCGGGCTTGTCGTCAAGTTTGCGGTCAGGCTTGGGGCTGCACTTGGGGCTGCACTTTGTCTCGCACTCTTCTACAATAGGGCTTGCGGGTATTTCGTCCTCATCGCTTATCTCCCTCGCCTCCCTCCACTCGGAGCTCTTGCGGCTGACTCTGGTAGGTCCAAGAGGATCGCGGGGGCTGGCGAGAGGGCTGGTTGGCGTGGCTCGAATGCTGCTGATGCTATCAGTACGCCCGTGGCCAAGTAGTCCGCTGCGAACGCTCAGACCATCAGCCTGCTTGTTGGCATAGTAGCTGTTGCGCTCGCTCGTCAGGACAGGAGCCGTGACGCCAGAGGCCGAGTAGACACTGGCGCGCTCTGCGTTGACAAAGGCGCTGACGGTGCTGGGCCTGTTGGACGGCGAATAGATGGTTTCAGGATTGGCGGAAAGGACGCTGAGGGGGAGCGACTCGCGACTGCCGCCGTAATGCGATGAAGGCGCTAGGGCACGCATGGATGCGTTGGTGTCTACCGAGTTGCGGCGGCGGCGTTTGGACGACGAGGCGAGGGTGAGAATCGAGGCATTGTCAGTCAGGATGTTGTTTGCAGTAGCGCCCAGATATGAATGCGGCTGCTGCTGGGGGGCCATGTGCGGCGGGATGGCTGAAGGCGGAGGCGAGGTTGGGAACTGGTGGGAGAAGTGCACAGGCGTAGCGGCCAAACCGCCTGCGTTGTTGTGGTTCTGGGCGTGGCCAATGTTGAGCACGTTGGATGGCGCAGTAGATTGTATCGTTGTCAACGTGGTCGTAAGCGAATGCTCGGACCCATTGGGCGAGGAAAAGGTGCTGCCGCCGTTGACAAAGTTGCTGCGGCCCGTCTCGGCCTTTGATCTTGTCGAGTGCAGCGTCTCGGGGAGGGTTGCGACCGTGGGCGCCGTCGACTTGTTGCTCTTCTGGACCCCCTGGCGCTGGGGCTCTGCCGGCTCCTCGACCGAGGCGCAGCTGTTGGAGCGTGGCGTGGATACAGAGAGGCCATCTTCGGGGGCGCGTGTGGCCGTGGTCGTGGCTATGTAGCCGGACTCGGGGTAGGGGTTGTTCTTGGACAGGGCTTTCTTGGTAGTGTTGTTCTTCTTGCTGGGGGCGTCCGACGACGAAGGCTTGAGGTTGGCGAGGCGCTTCATCCAGCCAGCAAAGGGACGCTTGCGCGTATGGCGGTCTTTGGCCTTGGTCAGCATGGTGCGGTGGCAGTGGCAGTGGACGAGGGGAAGTGGTGGTGGTGGGGAGAGCAGGGCAGACTAAGGCTAGACTTATGAAACAGGTGTGGGATGGGGGCAATGGCTGTGCTGGGCTAGTCGAGGATGCTGGTGTATGTACATACCATGGGGCCTCGACGCTGCCTCGGCCGTGGCCATGGTGTCCAGGTGGAGGAGCCAAATATAGAGCGCCGGTGGTGACGAGGACAAGGTGGTTGGGCAGGGCTGCGAGCGGGGACGCGACGTGCCGGGACGGTAGTGGTGGGCGGCGGGTTGCGGTGTGTAGGAGGAGTGCGTGTGGATGTACGTAGTATGTATGTATCTGTCTACGAGCGTACTAGTACTATGCCGTGGGACCTGGACGCAGAGCAGAGGCGAGGCGACGTGGGAGCCAGCACGTGCAACGGGGGCGGGCTGGGGCGAGGCCTTGTGGGCGGCGGCGGCGGGGCAGTGGATGCAACGTGCGGCTTCTGGTGTTTTCCGTGTGGACGCGCACGGCAGGGCGACGAGGCGGGGCAGCGTGTCAGTTGGTGTCGGTGTCGTGGTCTGGAAGCGCTGAGGGCGAGGGCGAGGACGAGGGCGAGGGCGAGGGCGGCCGCCTTCCCCAGCGCGCGCAGGTGCCACCCGCCGCTCAGAGCAGCCGTCTGACCTTCACCACCCTCCGATTGCGTATCGTGTGTAGATCTTCATGATACGCCCCGCTCAATCTCACACTGCCCCCCCACTGTCCGCGCCCTGGCCCCTGGACACGAGCCGCCGTGGGCTGCTGAGGGGGTCGCTCGCCAGCGTCCATCAACCACAGCCTGCCCTGCCTACGTCATCACCACCACCACCACCACCATCTCTTCTTCTTCCTCCTCGTCCTCCCCGTCTCTCCGCCATGCCATGACGCGTGGTCCCCGCCCGGCCATCCTGCCCCTGCCCGACGACGCCATCGCCCACATCACATCGTCAACGGCCATTGTCTCGCTGGCGGGCGTCGTGCTGGAGCTGCTCAAGAACGCGTTCGATGCAAAGGCAACCAGGGTCGAGGTCACGCTCGACTTTGGGCGCGGGGCGTGCCTCGTCGAGGACAATGGCCTGGGCATAGCGCCCCTCGAATTCGGCGACGGTGGTGGCCTGGGGAAGCTTCACTGTACGTCATAGCGCTGGTCGCTGTCAGCGAGGTGATTGACCGTTGCAGACACTTCCAAGTATTATGCCTCCGAGCCTATGCTCGGCCGCCACGGCGTCTTCCTCGCCTCACTCGCAGCCATGTCCCTGCTGACAATTGCCTCGCACCATCACGAGTACCGCTCTCATAATGCCGTAACTTTCCACCACTCCAGGGTCGTCGAGCGCCAGCTCCCTGCGCCGGCTCACCACGTGGTGCACGGCAACCATGGCACCCGTGTTACCGTGCGCAACCTGTTTGGAAACATGCCGGTGCGCGTCAAGCAGCGCTCCATCGTGGCCGCTCAAAGAGTAGAGACTGAGAGGCTGTGCGAGGGCCTCAAGCACGCCATCGTGGGCCTTCTCCTTAGCTGGCATGGCACCGTATCCGTGCGTGTCCGAGACAGCGACAACAAAGTCCTTCTCAACCTCAGCACATCCGACTCGAGCGCACCTGCCAGAGTACAGAACAACACTGACAAGCCACGCTCCTCCCAGCTCGGTTTCCTGCTCAACATCTTAACCCAAGCCAACTACATCACCATTGACGAGTGGCCGTCCTGGGTGCCAGTGTCTGCTTCGACTTCGACCGTTTCTGTCAAAGGCGCCATATCACTAGACCCCGCCCCTAGCAGGCATGTCCAGTTCATCTCCGTGGGTCTGCGGCCACTTTCCTCTGATTGCGGGCGCAATGAGTTGTTTGACCACGTGAATCGTCTTTTTGCAAACTCCACTTTTGGCATGGTCGAAGAAGAAGCAGTGGACGAGCATGAGAAAATCCGACGACTGTCGGATAAGCGCTTCAAAAACGACGGCTATACTAACCAACGGCGCAAGGCGCGCAAAGATGTCGACCGATATCCCATGTTCCATCTCCGTGTTTTGTTGGCGGAAGCTGATCAGCTAGGCATGTCGGAAGACCAGTTCCTAGGGGATGGAGCTAACCTGCAGAACATCATGGACATTGTGGAAGCAATGATAACCCAATGGCTCACCACCCATCACTTTCAACCCCGCCAACCCCGCAAGAGACGAGATGGACCTATCGTGGCTTCTGGCACGCTTGACCGAGTTTCTGAGAGAAACGCATCTCCCAGTCATGTTTCTACCAGCCAACTAGCTGTATCCAAGACATCGACAGCCGCCATGCCTAGGAAGAGGAAACGCTCCAATGATTCAACCTCATGTGAGAATCCTGAAAGGCAGCGTCGCGGAGCTTTTGCGGAATGGTCACGGATCAAAAGCGGAAAGTCTGAGTTCTTCAGCAGCCTTCCCGCCAGGCCAAAGTCAATTAGTCAAATGGGTCTGAGCGAACATACTCGTGCAGTTATTCAGGATTCCACGAGGAACGATGCTTTTGTCCCGTTTGCCACGAACCCTATTGCTCAAGGCGCGTTCAGTGCTGAGACGTCGCAAGACGGGCTTCCTGCAGCCGGAATTGCAAGCGCCGAAGAAAAGGAGAATGATGACAGTATACTTTGGACGGACCCCTCAAGCGGAAAGATACATGTTTTGAATGCCAGGACGGGCTGCATCATGCCCCATGCTCAATCGCGGCCAAATGCAGACCCCTGCGTGCCTATATTTGGAGCTAACCACAGACGTGTAAGCAAGTCAATTCGACTGCCATCTCGTGCTTCGACAGCAGCTGCAGGCGATACCCCTTGGCTGAACCAAGTGTTGCGAGACTGGGAGAATCCTGTCTTCAAGCCCAGTGAGCAACGTATCCAGCAAACGAGCATTTCTGATGAACGGCTTGGCCGCGAATACGACATCAAGCATAGCTGCTCCCGGATCACCGACAATGCCTTTGATGCAAATGCTACCAGTGGTTCAAGTAGATTTTCGAAAGAGAATCTACAGAATGCGCAAGTCATCTCGCAAGTTGACAAAAAATTCATTCTAGTCAAGATGCAGAATGCCTTGGCAGGACGCGATCAGCAGGGTGAGCTCTTAGTTCTCATTGACCAGCATGCAGCCGACGAGCGCGTCCAAGTAGAATCCCTCTTGGCACAGCTCTGCACGCCATTGCCCAGCACTGCTAAGAGCTATCAATCAAAGCTTGGCCACACATGTCGCATCGAAACCGTCGTGTTGGAATCCCCACTCAGCTTCTCCATTTCAGCCCACGAGCACTCGCACTTTTGCACGCATGCCGCCCGCTTCGCAGCCTGGGGCATCCTCTATGACGTATCTGCATGTCAGGGTCCAACGGCCCGCAAGCAAGAATACCTCGTGTCCATCTCCACGCTGCCGCCGGCCATCTCGCAGCGCTGCGTGACGGACCCAAAGATTCTCATTTCTCTGCTTCGCTCAACGGTATGGTCGTACGTTGAGGACACGCATGTTGCTCCTCTGCCTCGAGATTGTTTTGCAGAGACGGAATGCGAGGGGTCGACTTGGGTGAGTCGACTATCCACATGTCCACCGGCACTGGTCAACCTAATCAACTCGCGGGCGTGTCGGTCGGCCGTCATGTTCAACGACGAGCTTAGTCAGGGCGAGTGCGAGCAGCTGGTGCGGAATCTGGCGGCGTGTTCGTTTCCCTTTATGTGTGCGCACGGGAGACCGAGCATGGTGCCATTGGTGGATTTGGGGCAGAGTGGGCGTGCAGGATGTGGGCTGGGAGGTCAAGACGGTGATGCTGACGAGAAGAGCTTTGTGCGGGCCTGGAGGAAATGGAGGGTCTGAGTTGGATGTATATGTACTTGGCATCTTCTGGTGCCTCCACGTCAAGAAGCAATATGTCAGCCTTCCCAGCTACTGCGCGCAACACAAAATGCCCAAATCAGAGTCTTGTGAAATTATTTTATTCATTGATGTTATATTATTACATCATGCCTTATGCAAGGCTGTTCAACTTGTATCCGCTGGAAAGGTCATATCATCTGCACCATGTCTGCTCAATCAAGCACCAGACACGGCAGAATCCCTAAGCTCCTCCTTGTGCCCTTGTTACAGGGAATATGTCAAGGCGCTTAGTCAAAGGGGTTGGTGCGGGTGCCCCAGTAGGTGAGGAATATGCTGAGGCCGACAGTCTCGAGGACGCGGGCAACGGCACCAATGGCAATGGTGTCGACGGGGCGCTTCTCCGTGACAATCTGCGAGACAATCTAGCATGCAGCGTTAGCTTTCATCTGTTGGGCCAGTCATTCCAAGCGCGGGCACACGTACCGAAGGAGCAGCAGAAGCAAAGAAGATGAGAGAACCGAGGTAGGCGGCGCCCTTGTACGTGAGAGTACCGGTAGCGTTGATCAGGGCACCGACGCCGTAGGCCTGGATGCTAGAGCCGAGGATCGAGCTTCCCCACGATGCGGCGGCGGTAGCAGCCTCCTTGGAGTGGAAGTACTCCTCCTTGGAGTTGGCTTGCTGGGCGCGGCGGTAGGCGTCGCCGAAGACGGGGCCGAGAACTGCCAGCGAGACGGCGTGGTTGAAAGCAGTGCCGAGGGCAATGGCCGAGGGCTTGACAGGAGGGAGGTCTATGCAAGCACAAAAGTGTCAGCGGCATCTTTCTTCGCCGTTGCTGGTGGTTGTAGCCGACTGCCACGCAATCCGTGCAATGGCTGGGGCAGCAGGGCCAAAGACTTACAGTGGAGGGAAGCCATTGTGACTGTGATGGATGAAGTAGTGGAATTGGGAGATGGGTGGCTGCGAGGACGTGGGATTGGGGGTCGAGTTTGGATTTCTTGTGGTGCTTCTGCTGTCGTCACGGCGCGCGGCCTTCTTTTGTACCTGCGACGTCTGCGCCTGACATGCCAATGACGTATCTGCCAAGGCCAGCCTGTTGTGCGCCCACCCGTGTCTCCTAGTTGGCGCAAGGCGAGTCCACTCTGGGGCGGGTCTGGACTGGCAGCGCCGCCATTAGTCTGGCCATGGGCTGTCTAGCAGCAGTAGCAGTAGCATGGCGCAGAGACGCCCATTGCCGGTCAAGTGACGGGGCAGGGCATGGGGCTCGCTTTGCGCCGTGTTGATGTCGTGATGCGGGCGGGTTTTTGTTGATGTTGGCACTGGCATTGGCGGTTGGTGTTTTCAGGTACGTCACCAGTCACTGCATGGGCGGGGAACCGGGAGCTTGGGCCCGCTGTTTCCCCGTCTTTTTTTTTCGCCAGTGCCATTGCCATTTCACGGCCATTGATTGCCATTAAGGCCACACATATGGATGTTGCCAGAAGCGCACGCTGCAACGGGCATAGCGCTCGCAGCCCACCAACGCCCCCCCTTGCGCTCGCACTCGCACTCGCACCCCGTCTGCACTCCCAAAGAACGAATCCCGCACGCCTTGGCCGTTGGGCGCGCACGCGGGCGGCTGGCATGCCATGGCTGAAAAACAATTGCTTGACTAATATGCACACGGCCCATCCTCCCCCCCAGCGCGGTGAACGCCTGTCACGCTTGCACTTGCACTTGTTCCTTGCTTTTATTCCGCATCCAAGCCTAGGCCGCACATCCCCGCGTGCTGTCAGCGGCGCCCTCTCCCCCACAAGGCCATGATGATACCAAGAAAGGCCCTGGGCCTCGTCGTGCTACTGCTGCTCGCCACGGGCCTGCTGCTCTTCTCGCGCACCGCCGGACACTCGCTTGCCGACTATGTCTTCGGGCCCGATGCGCCCATGGTACCCTACACGACGCACATCGTCCTGTTCCAGTTCAAGCAGGGCACCAGCGCGCTCGCCATCAAGGAGGTGATGACTGCTGCGACTCTGGACGTGCGATGCGCCTGCTGAGCCGTGCTTCTTATAGGTCACCTCGCGCTTCTTTGGCTTGAAAAAGGAGTGCCGCCATCCAGCTACACTGCGGCCCTACATTGTGTCGATAGCCGGCGGAAAGGATATCTCGACCGAAAATCTCCAGGTACCCGCACTGGCCTCGGTCAACCAGGCGCTCGCTGCTCGAATGCTTACTTTGCTAGAATGGCATCAGTCACGCGTTTGTCTTGCAGTTCCACTCGGTCGAAGATCGGGACTACTATGTAAATGAGGACCCAGCCCATAAGGCTTTCAAAGAGGTGGCTGCCGCAGCCGTCGAGAGGGCGACGGTCGTCGACTTTCAGAATGGTGTTTTTACGAATGCGCTGTGAGTCGGTGGCCCTGCAACATGACGGTCATGGGGAAGAGTCGCGCTTGGACACATGACACTCGAGGTGAACATGGACAGACAGCTTCACGCCATGTATTCAACTCGGCGCACACACTTGTTTGGCTGCAATGGCCATATTGCACATTGATACGTTATACACAGGCTGCCGAGCCTCATGAACGCTGCTTCTTGGCCTCTGGCGCCTCTACCTGCTCTTCCACTACAGCATCCTCCACTGAACGCTGCTTCGCCGCCTCTTTCTTCGCGCTCCACCCCTTCACGGGGTTGGCAGGCTTGTAGTAGTCGACTTCCTCAAAGTAGTGCATGTCCCTCTTCATCTTCTCCTCGGGGTACACCTTTCTCGGCGGTGGTAGTATCCTATCGTCCATGCCCTCTTCTTGCTCCACACGCAGCCGCTCCACCATCTCCCGCAGGCTCTCGACGCCTCCTTCGCGGTGCTGTGTGACCTTCTTGATGTGTCTCGTCAGTGCTGGGCTGAGGCCCAGCTTTGCGGGTCTCCGTGCTAGCGTCTTCGCCGTCAGGGCAAAGCGCATGTCCTTGGGTCCGTCGACGAGTTCCAGGATGGCGGATTCGGCCTGGTCTTCCTTGAGAGGCTCAATGCGAAGCACGCGTGTGTAGCCACCCTGCCTGTTTGCATAGCGCTCTCTTATGGGTCCAAACAGCTTGGGTACCATTGTGTTGGGTTCCTGACGCCAGTCAGTATGCGCATGTCCCTGGTGCCCCCCGCAATGCATACATAGAAGATCTGCGTTGCCCGCAGCCGCGAAGCCTCCGTGTTCTTCTTTCCCAGCGTAACCAGCTTGTCCGCCAGCCGCTGGGCTTCCTTTGCCTTGTGCCATGTTGTCGCTATGCTTTCGTGCTTGAAGAGCGATGTGACGAGGTTGCGCAGGAGCGCCTGGCGATGGGCCGAAGACCGGCTGAGGTGGCGGTATTTCATGTGGCCGCCCGTCATGCCGGGCAATTGCGTCTACTGGGCCGTCGAGCGAGGTGTGCGGAGCGTGGGTGCCGTCGCAATACCACGACATGAGATGCCCCATCCAACAACCCACGAAAAGTTCGGGCGGCGGCCGGCGTTTACCCGACCCCACCCGCCCTGCACCATTCGCCGGATTATCAGAGCACTTAACCCTAATCCGTGACCTAAGCAACGCGCGCGTCGCGTTTCTGGGCCTGAAAGAGAAACGCGTTTATAAGTGCCTGCACCCACTCGCCCCTCGCTCGAGCCCTGCACTCTCCTCCCAAACCCTCAGCCCAACCCACCTTTCGTTGATCCTGCTTCGAGATACCAGATACCCGCAGGCCTCTTCTCATTCAGCATGTTCGTCTTCAAGCGTGGTATGTACCGCTGTACCGCCTGCCCTGCCTTCACCGCCTCGTCTTTTCCTGCCTGCAGCCCTTCCTCGCCTGCTAACAATTGATCGTAGACGGACGCAGGGAACGTGTGCAGTTCGACAAGATCACAGCACGTGTGTCGAGGCTATGTTACGGCCTCGACCCCGACCATGTCGACCCCGCGGCCATTACCATGAAGGTTATTTCGGGCGTCTACCAGGGCGTGAACACGACGCAGCTGGATGACTTGGTATGCCTGTGAACACGTCTCCTGCCCCTCCCTCCCTGACAGAGATAGGCCGCCGAGACAGCCGCCTACATGACGACGACACATCCCGACTACGCCATCCTGGCCGCCCGCATCGCCGTATCCAACCTGCACAAGCAGACAAAGAAGCAATTCTCCGCCGTGGTCGCGGACCTGTACAACTATGTCAACCCCAAGAACGGCAAGCACCAGCCAATGATTTCGGATTCCGTCTACAAGGTCATCCAAGATCACGCAGACGAGCTCAACTCGGCGATAGTATACGACCGAGACTTCAACTACCAGTTTTTCGGCTTCAAGACGCTAGAGCGCTCCTACCTCCTCCGCATAGATGGCAAGGTTGCTGAGCGCCCACAACACATGCTCATGCGTGTTGCCGTCGGCATCCACGGCGAGGACATTGAAAAGGCCATTGAGACATACGACTACATGTCACAAAAGTACTTTACACATGCCTCGCCCACGCTGTTCAACGCAGGCACTCCGTCCCCCCAGATGTCTTCGTGCTTCCTCATCGACATGAAGGAGGACAGCATTGACGGCATCTACGACACACTCAAGACATGCGCCTTGATCTCCAAGACCGCTGGCGGTATTGGCCTCAATGTCCACCGAATCCGTGCCACCGGTTCGTACATTGGCGGCACCAACGGAACATCAAACGGCCTCATTCCTATGCTCCGTGTCTACAACAACACTGCTCGCTACGTCGACCAGGGTGGCAACAAGCGTCCCGGTGCCTTTGCCATCTACCTGGAGCCGTGGCACGCTGACGTCTTTGGCTTCCTCGACCTCCGCAAGAACCACGGCAAGGAGGAGGTCCGTGCCCGTGATCTCTTCTACGCTCTGTGGATCCCCGACCTGTTCATGAAGCGAGTGCAAGAGAATGCCGAGTGGACTCTGATGTGCCCCAACGAGTGCCCGGGCCTTGCCGACGTCTACGGCGAGGAATTTGAGGCCCTCTACGAGAGCTACGAGAAGCAGAACAAGGGCCGTGAGACTGTCCGCGCCCAGAAGCTGTGGTATGCCATCCTCGAGGCTCAGACTGAGACTGGTAACCCCTTTATGCTCTACAAGGACGCCTGCAACCGCAAGAGCAACCAGAAGAACCTGGGTACCATTCGCAGCTCCAACCTGTGCACAGAGATTGTCGAGTACACTGCTCCTGATGAGGTTGCTGTTTGCAACCTGGCTTCCCTTGCTCTGCCTTCGTTTGTCGACTACAAGCGTGGTGAGTTTGACTTCAACAAGCTACACGAAGTCACTCAGGTTGTCACCCGCAACTTGAATAAGATCATCGAGGTCAACCACTACCCTGTTGAGGAGGCACGCCGCAGCAACTTCCGTCACCGCCCTATTGGTATCGGTGTTCAGGGTCTGGCCGATGCTTTCCTTGCACTGCGTCTGCCATTCGAGTCTCAAGAGGCCAAGAAGCTCAACATTCAGATCTTCGAGACCATCTACCACGCTGCTCTTACTTCGTCATGCGACATCGCCAAGGAGCTTGGTCCTTACGCGACCTATGAGGGATCGCCCGTCTCTCAGGGCATACTCCAGTATGACATGTGGAATGTCACGCCTACCGATCTCTGGGACTGGACACAGTTGAAGGCCAAGATTGCTGAGCATGGTGTACGCAACTCGCTGCTCATCGCACCCATGCCCACTGCCTCGACCTCTCAGATTCTCGGAAACAACGAGTGCTTCGAGCCCTACACGTCCAACATCTACTCTCGCCGTGTGCTCGCTGGCGAGTTCCAGGTTGTCAACCCATGGTTGCTCAAGGACCTGGTCGACATGGGCCTGTGGTCTGAGAACATGAAGAACCGCATCATCGCTGAAGGTGGTTCTATTGCCAGAATCCCCAACATCCCCGACGAGACCAAGACCCTCTACAAGACAGTCTGGGAAATCTCGCAGCGAACTATCATCCAGATGGCCGCCGACCGTGGTGCCTTCATCGATCAGTCGCAGTCTCTGAACATCCACATGAAGGAGCCCACCATGGGTAAGATTACATCCATGCACTTTGCTGGATGGAAGCTTGGTTTGAAGACGGGCATGTACTACCTCCGTACCATGGCTGCTTCTGCTCCTATTCAATTCACTGTCGACCAAGAAGCTCTCAAGGTTGCCGACACAAACGTCGCCCGTGCTCTGCCAAAGGTACGAAAGCAGCCGGGTTTTGTGCCAGAGGCAATCCGTAGCTCTACCACATCATCGCAGACCTCGGTAGCGGTCTCGCAACCAAAGACTAGTGAGAACGGTGTTCCCGCCCCGGCTGCCGACCCCGAGAGCAGGAATGCTCTCGCCAGCAAGCCTTTCAAAGCCGATGTTGAGGAGGGCGAGAGCCCAAAGATGGTTGCTGCCGATGCTATCAGCAAGCCGGATGAGGATCTCACCGACAAGACCAAGCAAGAAGAAGACTCAAAGGACGGTAGCGAGGCACGGGATGGTGATATTTATGCCGATGCCGTCCTTGCTTGCTCGATAGAAAACCCCGAGGCTTGCGTCATGTGCAGTGGTTAAGTCTAGATGGGTAGGGGGGAGTGGAACACGTGGTTTGTATCGCTCACAGCGTGTATTGTTTACGGCGTTGGCTGTCTTAATGATTGGATATGCTCAGCACATGGCATGGAGGAATGAATTTATGAGTTTGGATCTGTCATGTTATCGCTGAGCCGTGACCTATGTAGCGAATGTATCTTGTTATGAGTGATAGGTAATTTGCATGTCTGTGATGTGCCTAATTGGTTCCCCCTCATCAACTCGGCAGTTGTTGTCACCCTTGTTCTCTCTTACTTCCTGTACCGCATCCCGTTCCGAGAGCCGCGGCGCAATTCCGACCAAGCTCCAGCTTCCCCACATTGTCCACGCCCTATGCACATACATACATTATATACAAGACACTTGTAGCACACGCACACACGCACGCCCTTGGAATTGCATGCACTACGAAAGATAACAGAATCTTCTCACATATGTAGATATCCACCAAGTCACAAAAACAAATCCCGTCCTCTGTCTCTCCCCGGAAAGGAAAGGAAAGGAAAGGAAAGGGAAAAAAGGTAATCTTCACTTCCCGCCATAAGTTCTAAGCCCGCGTCCACCCGTTCCAACACATACATTTGCCCCACTCCCCCAAGTACCGTTGTTCCCCCCCCCCCCGTCCTCCTCGGGATCAGCCCAAACGCCCAGCCCTAATCAATCCTACGTGACCCCTCCTTCTCCTCCTTCTGCTCCGCACCCAGCCAACCAACACGCATATATGCGGTCTGTCGTCTTTCTCAACCGTTATTTGTCTCGCATCCAGTGCTCCTCGCCAATCTCAAACCCAGTCTCGGCTTCAATTCGCAGCAGCAGCAGCAGCATCACCGCCTACCGCATCAACAGCATTGCGGGACAATTACGAGGGCAAGGACTAGGACTCGGACAGGGACTTCGTACAATGGCCTCTTCATCGACGCAAGAGCAACAGCAACAGCCGCTGCAAGAATGGCTTGTGATTATCCCGGATCACAAGGGTGCGCTGGAGAAGCGGATTGCGGCTCGGCCGCAGCATGTGGAGGGGCTGAAGAGTGATAGGGAGGATATGTGGCTTTGGGGTGGTGAGTTTCGCTCTCTCTCTTCCTGTCTCTCTCTTCCTTTATTTTCCAGTCTTTTATCCCTTTCAGCTCGCTCGTTCCACTCGCTAACCCGCTCTCAACAAGGCGCCATGCTCGAAGAACCCTACTCAGCCACCGAGTCGAGCGGGCCCCCCAAGATGAAAGGCTCGGCATGTCTGGTTGGCGCCGCGACGCGCGAAGAAGTAATTGAGCGCGTCAAGCAAGACATCTATGTCAAGTCGGGCGTGTGGAATCTCGAGGAAATGCAGATTGTGCCGTTTCGGAGCGTGATTAGGAAGGCTTTGTGATACCTTGCAAGGAAGGGAGGGAGGGAAGGAAAGAAGGAAGGCTTTGTGATATCTTGCAAGGAAGGGAGGGAGGGAAGGAAGGAAAGAAGGCAGGAAGGTGTATACTCCTCACCACCTTGACATGTCCAAATCACTTTGAAAATAAAAATTCAATAAAGTATCTCTGTTGCGCGAGCTTGTCTCTCGTCACAAAGGCTAGTTTTTGCCAAATACTCGTTAAATTTAATCCTAAATGCGATGTAAAGATATTTGATTTATTTTTTTTTAAAAAAAAATGCATGTGTTACTTGATGATCCAATATCCATTGGAAACGAGCATTGAACAATTCTAATACCCAAAACTAAGATACGCGCCCTTTGTTCCTATTCAACGCGGAATAATAACGCCGACAATGCAAATGTTGCCTTTCCTATATCCACAAGTCTATCTGATCTCTGCACCTACGTATACAGAACGCTGGAAAATTAACAAGTCCGAGTAGTAGTACTGTGAGCGCGCCTTCTAGACACCAATTTTCCCAACGGAAGGACCCTTACTTTTTCCTACCAGTGTCACTCGAGCCCGCCTCGTCGTCACTGTCAACGCCCAAGGAAAATGTAGAGTCATTGTGTGGCTCCCGGCCCTTTTCCGAATAGCCATTTCCAGGCCTCTTCTTGCGTGCGCCTTCTAGATCGTCGAGTTCCCTCTCGTCAAAATCCGCCGCCTCAATGTCTGGTCTGCGGTCTCGTCGTCGGAAGTTGTCAAGGCCCATGCCGGTGAGAAGGGATTCTCGGCCTTCGTCGCCGCCATCGAGCCCTTTGTATTGGGAATTCTTCCGGCGACTCCGCCAAAGAAGGTATCCGCAGAGACAAGCGCCAATGACAGCAACGACGAGAGCCGTTTCGCCCGAGCGTTTGTAAGCCTTCCACTCGGCTGCCTTGAGCTCCTTGGTCTTGTCTTCCTCGGCCTTTGTCGAGTTGGGGTGGTCGCCAACGCTGGTCAGGGGTCCCTTTTCACCATCGATAAGGCTGTCGGCGGGAGTTCCGCCAATGGCTTCAATGTTGACGCCCAAGAAACGGTCAAGCATGTCTCGGGTGCGTCGTGGGTAGTCGAATGGAACCATGTGGCTCGAGTTGTAGAAGACGACATAGGTCAGGTTGCGCGCTTCTTGCCAAGTTCCAGCAGGCTCCCCTTCAAACATCCAGTCCTGCTTGGCGTTCTGGACCCCGGGACTGGCTTCGAAGCCCTTTCCGCCATTCCACTGAAGCCTCTCAATCATGGCTTCCGTGCCGACGTGGTTGCAAATGAGATCCTTGTCGCCCGAGAAAAGCAGAACGGGAACCTGCTCAATGAGCTCGGGCAGGAACGTAACAGAAGGCTGGCTGTTCTTGGCACGGAAGTGGCCAGAGACAGCACCATTGCACTCCTGCCAGCCAGTCTTTTTGTCGGGGTTGATGTGCAGCGCCTGGATGACATCGGCTCGGCGGAGATAGGGAGTGACGTTGGCCAGGTCCGGAGGCCAGTTCATTCCACAAGAGGAGTCGTCGCGCAGACGAATGTCGTACATGTTGACACACTGGTGCATCTTGTCCGCATTCTTGTTCTTGGTCTCCTCGAGAATGCGCACCATGATTTGTTCGCAATCGCCGGTATCGATCCTGTCCATGCCGCCTTCACTGAGCTTGTCTGTGCAAATCTTCTGCTGGCTTTCGACGCGCGTAGCCATTTCCGAGTCGCCCTGCAAAAGACCGTTCTGGTAGGCAAAAGGTATGTAGGAAAGGTATTGGTCGACGGGCGAAATCCAGCCGTTTCCAATCAAGAGACCCTTGAGCGGCCATGGGCTCTTGGCGGGGTTCTGCTTGTTGCGGTTGAGGATGGCGCGAGCAATGTACGGAATGTGTTGTCCAGCATACGATTCTCCGGCAATGTACAGCTGCAGCGCGTCAGTAAACGGCCCCCAGCCACATACGTGTCTTGTGTGCTTACATCATCATTTTCATACTCCGGGAACAGGGCGAAGAACTTTTCGAGGAAGATGACCATGTGGTCGGCCATCTGGTCGAGTTCGCTGAGGTAGCTGTCCGTGTTGACGTAGCTGAAGCCAGTGCCTACAGGCTGGTCTACGAAGAGCAGGTTGGCAAACTCGTCCCACGAGCCGTTGTTGTACTCCAGGTGGCCACCCTCGCGGACTCTGTAGGGGCCGACCTCCATCAGGGCGCCGTCCATGGAGGAGCAGCCGGGGCCGCCGTTCAGCCATAGCACGGTGCGCTGCTTGTCGGCGATGTGGCGGTTCTCGTAGTGCCAGAAGAAGAGGTTGCCGTTGTTCCGGGGGTCGACTTCGATGTGGCTACACGGGCGTTAGGGATGCCGTTGTCATTGTCATTGCCATCGGCATGTACGGGCTGCTTACCCTGCGTGCATCTTGAGCAGCGGCTGGGGCGCGCCGGGCAGCGAGTGGACAAAGTAGTCGGCCTGCGTCTTTTCGGCCGCCATTATGCTGGGAAGCCATGCGACGGTGGCAACGAGCCCGCCCAGCAGTGCTGTGCGCCAGCGCGAGGGCGGGTGTGAGGAAGCCATGGTGAGGGCGGCGTGTCGGAGGTGGACGCCGCGGAAGGTGCGGTGGGCTGCTACTGGCACATGGGCAGGCGCGGCGAGGGCTGGTGGAGCAGCGAAGCGGCGAGCGAGCAGAAGTGCAAGGAGGGTCGGGGTTGCGACGAGAGCGGATGTGGATGTGGATGTGGACGTGGATGTGGATGTGGATGTGGAGATGGCAGGACAATAGGTGGCTACAATGGGGTTACTACAATCGGTGTTAGGGCGGCTGACAGGTGCCTAGGCCAGGGGGGGGGTGGAGGGGGAATGTATACGTACATGCAAGCAAAGCAAAGCGGAGCAACAATGGCGAGGCACGCGGTCAGCCGCCAGCACAGGCACAGGCGCGGGCGAGAGCAGGATATCAAGACAGAGGCAAAGGGCCAAAAGAAAGCCGTTGTGTTTGACGAGCCGGGGCGGCGGTGGGAGCAGGGGCTGACGCAGCAAAAGAAAAAGGGCCATTACATATACAGCGGGCGTGGGCGTCAGGCACCGGCGGCGAGGCTGAGGGTGGAGAGGCGTGTCCGAGCTTGGTTCCCAGCCAGGAACCCGCCAATGGCGCGCGCCCGCGACTCGCCCATTCCGGCAGCGCCAGTCTCCGCGTCTCGAAAAGACACGCATGGCTGTGTGCATCTGACACGACTGGGCATCCCCTCCTGCTTCAACCTTGTATCATCGCCGCGACGTGCTTCTGCCACTGCACGCCCGCCCACGCGTCCACGCACACGTCCCCTCCGCCCACGCCCGCCCGCCTGTGCTACCCGTTGCGGAAGCGTGCAGCCTGCGTTCCGCACGGCATGCCTAACGTGTCGGCACAGTCAGGCCAGCGCTTCTTGCCACTACGTATCATTATCCATCCCACGACTCGCCGCCTCCACCTACTCCAGCCAACTCCAGCCAACTCCAGCTAACTCCAGCCAGCTCCTGCCAACTCTGCCACCGCCCGCCCACGCCCGCCGCCATGCGCTGGTCTTGTCGAACGTGTTCTGGAGCATCTTGGCTTCCCCCCCCCCCCGCCAAATCGGCCCGTCTGTCCACGTCGAAGCACTCGAGTCCGACCAGTGCTACACCACGGAGCCCTCCAAGACGCAAAGGGTTGACAAAACATTCCCGTAAGCGGCACCTGGCCGTGGCCGTCGAAGACTGCGTGCCACAGTGGCGCACACGCGCTCAGGTTCGCCTCTGCCCGCCTTGCTCGACCGCCATGGCCCGCCGCTCCCGTCTTGTCGTGTTTTAGAAGAGGTCGTCGAGACTCTTTGCCGAGTCTTTCACGATCAGATCACGCATGCCCTGTCCATTTTGTCAGCGCACTGTTGCCCCCCGCCCGAAACATGCCATGTCCGGGAAGCGCGTACCTCTGGCATAATGGGCTGCCCGTCGTCGCCCTTGACGTAGCGGAAGGGCATCTGCGTGCTCTCGTTCTGGTTGATTTTCAAGTCGGGGTGGTCAATGTAGGCAATCTGGTCGACGGGCACTGTGTCTTGTGAGCATCTCGCAACCACGCCCTATCGCAGCCGGGCATGCTCGACGCACCCTTGTCCTGGACGCAGATCCTGGTGACCCGTACAGCCGTGTCGGTCGTCATTTGTACCGGGCCCAGCCGACGGCCCTGGTAGCCTTTTTTCCGCAGTTCTGAGGTTCGGTCTGCGTGCAAGCTGTTAGCGAATCGAGCGCGCAGCCATTGCACCGTACGGGCAGCACCACGCACCTCTCGGCGGATCGTCCCCTGGTTGGCGTCAGCTGGTTGCGGCTCCGGTGAAAGCATGGTGAGTGGCATCACGTGTGCTTACCCAGGATGCCACCGAAGAGAAAAATGTCAAAGGCGTCGCCGTCGGCTGGACTGAGGTCCTTGGACGCTGCTGGGTCCAGCAGACACACCTTGTCCTTTTGGTCGGCGTATATCTCCTCGATGCTCCGTGTCTCGACCTGGAGGCCCTTGGCGCCCTCGAGGCTGGCGGGCAGGGTCAAAGAGGCGGGGACCGATGACAGCAGGAAGCGGGCGCCCGAGGCATGCGACTCTGCGGCAATGGCAGCGTACTCGAGCGACGACCACTCCTCGAGTTCCGGGTCGAGGTGCTCGACGACAAATGTCTTGCCCGCGTTCGTCATTGTGCGTGGGATGGGATGGTGGGAAAAAAAAAGGCCTGGGCCAACTTGGGCCTGGGTATTATTATTTTTGGCGTTGGAACTGCACGGCAGCTGCTTAGCGAATGCGAGCAACGGGCGGGGCTGGGTTTGCCTGACTGGACAGCTCAGTGGCGGGCTGCGAGTGTTGAGGGATGTGATTTGGAGACGGCGCCCTGGAGCCCGGCAGCAGCGTGTGGCTAGCCAGATTGTGTGGTCATGGTAATAATAGTGCGAGGGTGACCGTCAGGATTTGATAGAGGGTGCGGCTAGCGGGGCAGAGCAGCCAATGACGGCAAAGGCAGCATGCACCGTTGCATGCTCCCCCGCATGCTCTTGATCGTGGGCGTGGTTGTGCGCTGCCATCTGGCACTAGGTGTAGAGACGGTCATGGCATCCACAGAGGCAGACGGCTGTCCGCTTCCGTGTCCGTGTGCGTGTGCCGCCGAGGCGCGCATCGATTGATGATAGACAACGGCGGCGGCCAATGGCGGTGACGAGTGACGTTGCGAGGGGGTGCCGTAATGCGTCGTTTGCAGCCAGCCCAAGTGTAAGCACGAGAGATAGTTTCGCGGCAACGGCTTCGTTTCCCTGAATTGCTTGTGCCAACTGCAGCAATCATTCACCCGTCACATTCAGCCACGCCCTGGGGGGAATTGCCAGGCCCGGCCCACGCCATTGCATAAGTACTGTACCCGTCTGCTGCATCTACCCCTCCTTGGTCGCCAATCCCGCCCTACCCTCGATTGAGCACCTGAGAAGCACCTGAGAAGCGCCAACCGCTGCCGAGTCGTCTGCATAAATCTCGCGTCCTCTGCACCCTCTTTTTCTTTGCAGCTGGCTCTTGCTGTGCCATCATCATCCTTTTTTGCGTCCCAGCCATTTGCAGCCGTCTCTGCTTTGTTGCTCGAGTGCGTCCCGAGCATCTGGCACCTCGGGCGATTAAGGCTTATCGCATAGTCGACTGAATAGAGGGGCACTCGCGTCACGACCACAACCACAACTGCCACTCTCGACCCCTCGCCCCCCATTCTGCCCTTGCAGCATCTCCAGAAACCGAGCCCAGACGAGTCATAGCACGTTGCCCGTCGTGCGTTGTCAGGCATCAGCAGCAGCAGAAGGAACGAGCCAACGCCCAAGCGTCGTCGATACCCAATCGTCACAGCGCGCAACCACACCAGACCACACCGGACTTCACCACCTTGTCCCTGTCTCGTAGCCGTTGACAGTACCCGCCCAACCGGCCCGGCCTAAGCTAGCATCGCTCGACTCTACAAGATATCGTGTCTGCCCACCCCCTTTCGCTGCGACGGGAAACCATTCAAAAACCGCACCATCGCCTGTCCACACCATCGGCCAAACGCACACCACCGCACCACCGCAACCCGCAATACCGCCACAATGAACCCACACCAGCAGAACAAGGTCGACGTTAGCGTACGTCACAGCGCTCTTTGCACCGAGCCCCCTCGCTAACATGGCAGGATAGAAACTGTCGGAGCAGGAGGCCAAGCTGTTCCGCCTCTACGGCAAGCTGCCCAACAAGAAGGATCTTCTTCAGAACAAGCTCAAGGTACGTCGAGCTCTGCCTATGCAGACAGGACGACGCCCGAGTGCGTGTCTAACACCAAAAACCACAGGAGCGCAAGTATTTTGACAGCGGCGACTACGCCCTCTCCAAGGCCGGCAAGGCTGGCGACGTTGGCGTGACGCAGGTCGGCCGCGAGCACCCCAACCCCGAGAAGATCCCTCACATTGCCCCCTCTACGCCCATTAGCCAGACTGTCACCGTCAACGCCAATGGCAGCAACGGCGCTACTACCTCTCAGGGCGACATGGCCACCAGCCCAGTCAAGGAACACACATTTCTGCACCGCGAGACGAGCCTGAACCGGGAAACGTCGGCCTCGGAGTTTGAGAACAACGACATGGCCGAAGACGCACAGGGTGGCCCTGTCAAGGCTTAGCTGGCGCCACGCCCGTGCTAGACGCGTGTGCCCTTCCCTTGTTTGCACTCACTTGGCGCAATTTGGATGACGGTGCCCAAAATGTATCTTTTACGCACCTTCCAACGGCCTGACCTTATCGTCTTTTTGCGGAGTCGGACACGGCGTTCAGGATAGCCTTCCATGTCAAGCGAGCCATATGCACCACAGCGCCCCGTGGCCACGACTACTTGGTGAGGGCTTGAGCTGTGGTGTACGGAAGCGCCCTCCACTTCTTGTGTAGTAGTACCTTTGACCAACAATGGAAGACGAGAGAAAACCTGGAGGCTTGTTTCGGCTAGGTATTTGGAGTCTTGTGGGCTTCATGTTAATGGCTTTGAATGTGTATGCCTACTCGAGTAGAAAGATTATCATAGCAAATATGATTATAGAAATGTTGCCGCCAGTCCGCCCCGTTCTCTGTAGTTTCTGCAGCTCAGCCCGTTGACATTGGCAGACAGATTGGTTTGCACGCCAAGAGGTTGGGTGGTTGCACCTGATTCGCCCGTTTGGGGTTGCCAACATGGACGCTGCTCCTCGCCATTCCCAAGACCTCAATGCAACAACATTACTCGCACATTCTCCAACCAAGTGAGACAAACAAAAGCCCAGGGCTTACTTCAACATGGCTACTTCATCATCCCCCAACGCACAAGCCAAAAAGCACATTCCTGGCCATGACCGTTGGCCTACCAAGTGCATCTCCATGGAAACAAGCCACTTCCTACGTATGCTAAATCGTCTGGGCCTCAGCAGTATTTGCCTTGAAGTCGACTGGGTGCATTTCCCATGTATCTCTTCCAGCCGGCAACGCACATCACACTTCGACGCCAAAGCGTGGACCCAAAATTGGAAGCACAGATTCCGCAAAGTTGCGATTCATTTCGTCGTCCGGAATCCGCGTGCAACGCAATACGATTCTCAGTGGTTGATGGCTGAGGCGGAGACGCTGGCAGCACTGCTGGTGGGGCCAGATGCAACTGCAGCATACACCGAGCCTCGTCGGTGCTGTGGGGGGGGGACTTCCCACTTTGAAGGCGTCATACATGGTCTAGTCGTCGAGCGGAAAGTATGAAAGACTCTCCGACATGGCTTGAAGATAGGGGGATTGAAAAAGACGGTTGCGCTTGATGGGAGGGAGCATCAGAGGGAAAGAAAGAAAAAATGACGAGAGCGCGTGATTTCGGATGTGGTAGATTTTCGAAACGGCGAATTTCAAACAACTTGAATGTTGAAAATTGGCATAAATGTGGACATGAGGAAATGTGGAAATGTGTTGAAGAAGACAAAAAGAAGAGGGTTTCTTCCAAGTAATCGCTTTGGGCTAGAGACTGGATATACTTTATTGTGAATAAATGGTATTTACTCACGGTTCTCTCTCTCTCTCTCTCTCTCTCTCTCTCTCTATATATATATATATATATAAATCGTGTTGCCACAATGTCCACCAAAAACTTCCTAGCTAACATCCCTTAATACGAGAAGAAGAAGAAGAAAAAGAAGAAGAAGAAGAAGAAGTAAAAAAAAAGAATAATCTATCTTAATGCTACAAAAAAAAAACCCCTCCCCCCTCTTTCTACTTACACAGCATATTTAGCTATTTAGCCCTCCGCCACGTCCTCAGGGTACCCGCAAACCTCCTCCTCGTAACATAGACAAAGGCGACAAGACCCAGGGCAGCAAGCAAAGCGGCAAGATCCAGACTGGGATGGCGCACGGCCTGTTTCCTAGCTTCTTCATAGTATCCCTTGACGTGGTCGCGGAGGCCCTGGCCGGATTCCAAATCGGGCATTGCCATGATCTTGACGACGAGCGCCGTCCAGCCCGTAAAGGGCTGCGAGCGGCGGCCCGCCCCCGTCTTGGCGTCGTATTGCTCCCACGTGAAGCCCGTGGCGCGGTACGCCTTGTACACGGTGCCGACCATGTTTCGGCGCAGCGAAATGTACAGCGTGCGGGCGCGCGCTTGCTCGGGCCCCGGCGTGTGCGCGAGCCGCAGCAGGCGCTCCAGAAGCAGGTAGTTGATGTTGACCCAGATGGCGGAGCGCCAGTAGTCGTCGTCGGCAGCGTACTTGGGGTCTTCGAGACTCAGACTGCGGATGCCGTGCGGCGTCCATAGGTGTCGCGGGTTCTGGACTAGGTCCAGGAGTGTGGGGAGCCGCGCGTGCGATGCGTCGTCGTCCATCAAGTCGGTGAGCAGCGGGAATAAAGAGATGTAGCCTTTGTGGCAGGCGTGCGTGTGCTGGCTGTTGCGGACAACCGCGTCGCAGTACATGTGTGCTGTGTCGGACCAGTGCACGGCTTCGAGGTTGTGCTGGATGCCGCGCATGTGGTTCTGGTATGTGAATGCGTCGTGGGTATCTTGTGTGAAGACGGCGATTTGCTCGAGCGTACGCGCCATGACGCCCACCCAGCACAGGGCATCGAGATGCAGTTCGGTGACATCTGGCGGCTCGGCGCGCGGGTAGTCGTCAAGGCCGCTGGCGAGATTGTATTCGGGGGTGCGGCCGCGCCAGCGGTAGCCCTCGTTGAGGTTTGCAGCAGGGAGCGAGTGCGCCTCGACGTCGCCGGCTTGCGACTTGCGGAACCACTCGTAGTGGCGCTTCAGCAGCGGCTGCATCTTGGCTACAAGCGCCTTCCCCGTTTCAGGCTTGGACAGGTACAGCGAGGCGTGGCCGTGGTACTTGACTGTGCCCTTGAGCATCTGCACGAACTTGGACATGACCAGGTACAGCGTCGGGGGATTGGCAATGTGCGGGAACTGGTGGATGAATTCCGGTGGTGTCGAGGCTTCGGCTTCTGGGCCGAGAATCTGCTCTCGTGCGATCCAGCCGTCGTCGTCCATGAGGAAGAGCCAGTCGCGGATGACTTCCATGGCGAGATCGGCGTCCCATTCCACGACGACGAGAAGGTGGAATCCTTCGTCCCACAGGAAGCCGCGGGGGAATGCGGAGCGCGAGGGCGTGTGCGTGAGGAGTTCGTAGGGCCCCTTTGTCACGGGCGTCGTGTGCTTATTTGCATCAGCCGACTTTTCCCAAAAGTTGCTCGTCGTCTCCGCGTAGATGGCTTTCTTGGACGTCACGACTTTGGAGGTGCCGCTGAAGTAGCCCAGGCCGCCCAGCAGATCCGACAGCACATTCTTGGCGAAGTCGAGATGCGGGAATGTCTTGAAGGGAGGCGTGGGATTGAAGACAGAAAGGAACTTTTTGCCAAAGCCTTGAATGGCTTTCTCCAGGTCCGCACTGAGGCGAGCAGCTAAGAGGGTTAGCACATGATGTTTGTGAAATAACATGATAGAGGATGCTTTGTCAGATGGTATAGGGGCAGACTCACAAGTCATTGTACGCTTTGCTGTTTCAGTGGAATACAGAATGTCAAACTGTAGAGATTAGTATAGTCGGTAGAGCTGCTCTCTCACGACGTACCTCGAACTCTCCGTGGCACACCATTTGCACAAACAGCATGTTGCCTGCACCGGGCTCGTTTCGAAGCACAATGTCCGATGGGCCAGGTTCCCTTCGGTTTTTGGTCTGGTCTTTCAGTGAATCTAAGAAAGTGGCTTCTTGCGCACAGGGTCGTCAGCTAGCCGTTCGAATGAGACGTGTGTGGGGCGAATTGACACGGCGCATACTTACATTTGGCCTGCCACAGCCGGTCCTCGGTCACGTTCAGCGACTTGACGTAGGCGATTTCGCGGACGCCGTCGCCATTGAGCGGGACGGGGATGTGTATGCCAGAGCTGCCTAGTTTCGGGTGGACCAGGTTCACGTTGATGGCATGGACGGATTCATCTTCGCCGTGTCCGAATTGCTGGCGAGCATCCAGCCGGCAATGGGTGCAGGCTTCCTTTTCCTCCATGCCCAGGTAGAAGACGACGGTCGTCTTGAGCTCTGGGGGCGCATCAGGCGTGGGCACGCCTTTGATCCTCAGGCCCCAATTGCCGCGGCTCTTGCCTTCAGAGTACTTTATGAACTCGGTCGTGAGGGTAATCTTGTTGCCGACATCTTCGATAATTTGGCGGCCACCCTCGCGCGTATCGTACGCTGTCCATCCGTACCGCGCCATGGCGTCGCTTTGGTTTACATTATGGCGGAGTGCTGTGCTGGTTGTTAGCACTGTACTGGCCCTGCACCCACTAAGTACTGACTACTCACTTGTTGCTACGTCCTCCAGTCTCCCCCACATTAACCCCGCGACGACGCTCTTGGGCACGCGGGGGCGGAGACCCAGATAGAGGTTTGGCCGGTAGGGACCCCATTGCAGCGACTCGCTATTCGTCAGGCGACTGTCGTCGGCAGCGGCTGCGGGGGCAATGATGGTGAGGGCGAGGGCGAGGGCGAGGGCGAGGGCGAGTCGGGCCAAGGCTATCATGCTGGAGAATGACGCGTATGGAACGCGTCCGGCCGAACAATGACCAACTCGACGGCGGGATCGCGGTAGGACAGGGCTTCAGGGCATTTTTTTCTGACACGTCTCCAGTGGCCGTTTGCTGTTCCACTGCCATGCGCCGGTTATCCGAACAGCACTGCCCAGCCATGCCTCAGTCGTTAAGCCGGGGCTTGTGGGTGCTTGGCCTAAGCACGCTCCTCGCCATCCTTAAGTACGGGGCCCATGAAGCCATGGAATCCACCAACGGGGCCCATCAACGCCTGGCCCTCCACCATCGCCATTTTCTGCATGTCTGATCGCCCGCCATCTCTCGTCAGAGCGGCTGCCATGGCTTGCTGTCCCACGCTACCTGCAACTCGTGATGGGCTGGCGGTGATGGGCTGAGGGGCTAGCAGCGGTTGCATGCCGCTCTCCTCCCGCACGCGACGTCAGCGCTTCCAACTGCGCTCCACCATGCCGACACCCCCACAGCCAGCAAGCTTGCCTGCATGCGCCACAGCTAAAAGCATTCGCAGCCCGCGTTGGCAGGTTTGGGATTCTCATCGATTGCCTGAGCGACACATATATCTTTGTTGAACCGGGACACTACACGCCTCTGATTACTCCGCCTTGGCAAAATGGACCAGCAAGTAGAGCGCTTGGTGAACAAGACCTGGGGTATTCAGCACGATACATGCAATCAAACGAGGCATGCTGATAGCCATACAGAAAAGTACCAGGATACGCCCGCCTCACAACGATTGATGGTAGCTGTCTCCGGAATTCCAGGGTCAGGTATGCACATGCACTACAAGCGTCTACCACGCTGCTACAAACTAACAAATCCTAGGCAAAACCACACTGGCAACCATCGTATCAGCCAAACTCAACGAGAAACATGCACAGCAATCACCCGGGACCGCCAACAGCAACCCGGTGTCAGCCTTCATACCGATGGATGGCTTCCATTTGTCACGTGCCCAGCTCGATGCCATGCCCGATCCAAACACCGCCCATGCTCGCCGCGGTGCAGCCTTTACATTCGACGGCGAGTCCTTCTACAAGCTCGTTCAAAAGCTCCGGGAACCCATACTCCCAGAGACAGCGACGCTGTACGCCCCAAGCTTCGACCATGCCATCAAAGACCCTGTTGACAACGACATTGCCATTGCGCCCTCCGTCCGCATAGTCATTTTCGAGGGCAACTACTGTTCCTTGAACAAATCGCCCTGGAGCGATGCCGCCAAGCTCATGGATGAGCTGTGGTTTGTGGATGTCGACTTTGCCGTTGCGCGCAACAGATTGATTCATCGCCATGTCAAAGCCGGCATTGCTACAAACGCCGAGGAAGCGGCGCAGAGGGCGGATGAGAATGACCTTGTAAATGGCAGGGAAATTGTTGAGTCGAGGCTCGAAGTACATGAGCTTATTAAGAGTCAAGATGATCAAGCTTGGGCTCCCGAACAACAGGGCTATGGTGATGGTCAAGACTCTGCCACCAAGCATGGCATAGCAGGGCGTGTATAGTTATGAATTTTTATTTTATTATGGTCATCCACCACACCATCTGCCATGTCCACGTACCCACCAAGCAATTCCGTCCAGAAGCTTATTAGTTCTTTCCGGATAAACATTCCAAGGGGCCATGCACAGCATTCTCCTACCTGCCGTCCTAACGCGCGCCATGCTGAACCCTACCCTTCACCCTCCCTCCCTCCCTCCCTCATTCTATCTAAACAAAACAAAACAAAACAAAACAGCTATCCTCCATAAGATTTTAGCCTGAAACAAATCGCCCTAATCCAGCTCTTTTGGCTGCTTCTGCTGCGGCACCTGCGTCTCCGGCAGTTGTCGACTTAGCGTGCTGACACGAGCTTCTCCAGCCGGACTATCCGTGCACACACTTCTTTGCCTCTGACTTGCCTGTGGTTTGCGTCTCTATCTCTAACATAACCCTAGGTTGTACTACGTATACCCGCATGCAAGCTGCCGACGACCGAATCTTTTTTTTTTCTTTCCTTTAACACTTGGCTTGTTTGTTTTTTTGCGATGTAGTACGTAGGAATCTATAGCTTGGATTTTATGTACTTGGCAACAAGTACTTATCTGGTTTGACGGTTGCATTGCGCGCTCTCTGCTTGTTTTCAGTAGTACGCTAAGAGCGGGTTTCCTTCGTTTGTTGTCAACGACCGCCGTGTCTATGAATGTAAGTAGAGCTGCCTAATGGTCAATGTGCCTTTGTTTGCCCCGACAGAAGCCCACGCACCGTGCTCCGCATCACGAGATCCCGGTCCGATAGAGTGTGATTTGCGGTGCTCCGCCCGTTGAAACACCAAGATATCTAATAATAGCACACGCCCGTTTGGGTTTCTGGCGTTGGGTAGGGAACTGGGGGGGATGAGTATCGAGTTGCCGAGACGGGTGCCCAGGCGCTATATCCACATAGTTATGCTACTATAATGTCTTATCACGACGACACGCCATGAGGATGCTTTGCATGGAGGAATGAGGGGGACGCGAGAAGGAGATGTCATCGTCATCATTATCAGCTGGAGGATTGACCCGCAGGACCGAAGCAAGTTTCCACTGCAAATGCTACGATGGGCTTGATAGAACTTGCACGAGCTAAGCATAAGCTACATGAGAATAACGGAGTGCAAGGCTGTGACTGAACATGCATCGAGACGCTGCATAACCGAAAAATATCCAATGTTATATATATATACTAACGAGAAAGCATGTACAAAATCTGTAATGTTGGAAATATGAACATAGAAACTCTTCTTCTCTTGCCATCGACATGCATCCTCAGCCCTGTGCATAACCTATGCAACAACACCAATCCTGTCAAAGTCGGGTGCATTGGCGCTTCCGGCCCCGGAAATGGTAATGGTGTTTGTGCTGGTGGTGCTGAATCCAGAGAGCTCGACAGCATAGCCCTTGCTGACATTGACATCCCAGTTGTAGCCGCTGAGTGGGAAGCTGACGGTCTTGGCGGCTCCGCCGTTGACACTGATGGATGCAACGCGCTCGTTGGTGCCGCCCATGTAGTCGACCTGGCCGTTGATGTAGTCAAAGAGCACTGTCTGCGTGGCTTGCGAAGTGCGGATGTTGGATAATGTTACGCGGCCGTTGGAGGAGCCGCCCAGGTTGCCGACGCGGGTGGAAGAGCTGCAGCCCGAGCAGGACTGCGTGTTTGCGCCCGACGACAGCGATCCGGTGGATACGGCGATGTATGTGTACTTGGGCTTGGTGGCGGTGGAGAGGCGGATGTTGGAGAGGCGGAGAGCGACGGAGCCGTGGGCTTTCACTTGCTTGGAGTACGAAGACCCGCTGACCGTCTGGCCGCTCCAGAGGTCCTTGATGGATGCGGATGCAATACCGAGATCGGATAGCTGCACGCTGAGGGTGCGGGCAGCGTTGCTGAGGTCCACGGCCAAAACAGCCATGTCTCCGTTGGCGAGATCGCCCGCCCAGAGATCGCGGTCGCCAGTCCATCGTTGACGGAGAGTGACGGGCTTCACGGCCGAGTCCTGGTTGATGGCAATGAGGTCTTTGTTCTGCAGCACGGCAACCAGTTGGTCGGACAAAGCCGGGACATTGGTCGAGATCATGAGCGCCGACTTCAGCATAGCCCATGCCGCAAAGTGCGTTGCTTGCTCATCAAATGTCATGGCTGAATTGCCCACCTCGAGGAGATCAGCGTCGCCAATGTGTCCGGGGCCAGTCAGCCCGTTCTTTGCAATGTGGACGGCTTGGTTGTAGATGCGATACATGGAAGCCCAACCCGAGGTGATGTCGTCTGACAGTCTGAACGACGTGGATATCCCCTTTGTCCAGCTGTCGGGTCCCTGCAAGCCCGAAGACGACGAGTAGGGAACGCCCCACTGGCATATCAACATGCCGGGAATTCCCACTCGCTGAAGCTCCTTCCACATGGCGCCCATGCGAGACGGGAAGTCAGTCCGCGCATTCTTGGGCGCGTTTTGACTGGCTGCCGGCCCATCCGCGTAGCAGTTGTCGTCTGCACAATTGTGAGTAAGCATACTTTTCCTACGCCTGCGCATCCTTAAAACTTACATTTGACGTATTCGGTACCCAGCGACTTGAAGAATTCCGCGTCTGCAGCTTCGTGGCCCAGAGAGCCCAGGACCGGGCTCGGTGACTGCGGATCGCACATCCTGACGCCTGCGTCCGAGTACATGGTCCACTTCATTCCCTTGGACCTTGCCAGATCACTCAGCGGCTGGAGTCCGTTTGGAAAAGCATTCAAATCCACCTTTATGGCGCCGTTGGTCGAGTTTCGCTGGCCATCCCTGGAAGCCCACCCGCAGTCGATCTGGAAGAACTTGTAGCCGGCAGCAACGAATCCGCGGCTGGCAAGAGAGTTGATGGCTGTGGTGATCTTATCGGCATTTGGACTGCACGACATTTGGTTGTAAGAGTTCCAGCCCATGACGGGAGTTTGCTGGAACGACTGGGCGGCCACATGAGTAGCACCCGCCAGGGAGACAAGGAACGAGTTTGTCCAAATCATGGTGAGAGGAGGGGAGCTGGAGCAAGTGTTTGGTGCGAGGTAGCCATCACTTCTGGATGCCTTTCCGTGCCTTCTTATAGCATTTCGACCTTGGTCCCGTATATACCATGGTGAAACAAATCACGATGTTTTGCCGGTGGGTATGGCCAGATGCCTGCGTGCGTGTCGGAAGGACTGCTGTGAAGAGAGCTAGCGTTGAACGTTGTACAGATTTGTGCACAATGACACCACCATACAGAGCATTCGCGCACTATCTTTCTTCCGCGCAATAAATTAGGGATTCTGCGTCGTCCCGTAGCAATGCCGCTTAGCGATATTGGTCCACGTTATGCGCATGGTCGATCTCCACACGCGTCCTAGTCGCCGTGTTACCCCGCGCCCGCGCCATCAAAAAACCCCCGGAGCCCATCAGTAGTGGGGAGCCGATACTTTTATCCGCTGATCCCAAGAGAATACATCGCTCTCTAGCGTATCCGTTCCGCCAGCGTAATCGACACCGCGCCCGTTGTCGCTTGCTCTTCTGCATTGATCTTTCTCGCCTCGCACTTGGCTTAGCTCCGTGATCGCCACTCATATGGCTGGCACAAGGATACAGTGGGTCGTTGCCCGTTGAAGTATGGGGGATACGCTGTGCATCTGGGGAAACCATAGTGGAGCTTGAGACGAATGAAAGTTTACGAGACCTCACGAGCGCTCTTTTCTCCTGGATAACAATAAGCAGAATAAGGCCCAAGACTGAATGCCCGATATGCTTCTCAAACAAGTGCTCAGCTCTATCTCATCATGAAACAGGACCATGATCTGGGATAGCCCCGGCCGATTCCTACGTTCAGCAATACTGGCTTATTTCCAACCTTGCCCTGCTGTGAAGGTTCAAAACATATCCCCTGATTTGCGTCTGGGATCGTATCATGTTTCCGACTGTTCAATCGCATCTCCGACCGAAGCCATGGCACGTCAATACCTCGCAGGCTCGGGAGCGTCTGACGGTACTGATTTTCATTACCGCCAGTCCCGTGCTCGTGTATGCCAGGGGCACGAGTTTCAGCGCAGTCGAATGCTGATCTAAGCATACTTGGGTCGTACGGTTACGACCAGGGGTCTTTGGCGACGTCATCATCTCCGAGAACCTCCTTGATACTTTTCGTCACCCACTGCGCATATAGAGAGAGATGTAGCAGCTATTTTTCTGCTATACCAAGTTAGCTAGCGCCAACTGAAGATTGGTGTGTAGCGTGAGCAAGGCTTGGTAATATGCACACTACTTGTACCAAAATTGTAGTAACTCTACATGTGCTAAAACGGAGGATTATTTATTGATTGGCTGATATGATTATGCTGTGTTGGTACTATGCACTCCAAAATAACGGGGGCTGGCAGTGGCTGGTTACCCAAAGGTCTCATCCACAGCTCTCCATCCAACAACACTTACTCACCTTTAACTATTTACTACTCTAGCTAAAGCAAACTTGCACTTTTGCGCGCAGCAGCTTCGTCAATGAACGATAAACTTCCGCCTCCGCCTCCGCCTCCACTCCCATCTAGTCGAAAGGACGAAATCCCGATACCAAGCACTGCAATAATGCCTCCACCTCCGCCGCCACCTCCACATCTGTTCAGATCATCAAGACCTGCGAGCCCCGTACCCTCACCTCCTCCAGTGACTTCTGAAGCATTTGAGCCAATCGACAAAGCACACTATCTCCAGTTCCTCAAAAACACAAAAGCAAATATGCCCGGTGGACCTTTCCAGCCATTCCACATGTTCTTCTACGGCTCACTCATGGACCCTGAAGTCCTGCAAGCAATTCTCAATCTCCCGGACCTCCCAACCACCCGTCCCGCTACCATATCCGGTTTCCGCATTAAAATGTGGGGCATATATCCCGCATTGTTACCGTGTCAGTCTGGAAGCGTAACCGGCACTGTGTGGAAGGTGACCTCAGAGACACAGTTTGACCGTTTGGCAGCTTACGAGACGGCCGCGTACAGATGGGACGAATGTGTTGCGGTTCTGGAAGATGGAGAGGTTCTCACCAATTGCCGGACGTTCTGCTGGGCCGGAGAACCCGATAGCAAGGAACTTGAAGACGGCAGTTTCGATCTGGAACGCTACCAGAAGTATTTCAAGGCTTCAGTTACTAGGCGGTGGGAGCCAGGTCTGTAAACGTTGGGCTGATGTATGCATGTAATGTCTGTTCCATGACTCTCTTAAGTAGATTAACATGATTTAAAATTGTGTTTACGTTCTCTAAAGAGACAGCTGATCTTGTGCTCCCAACGGGTATTGACTGTGTTCATTTTCTTGCTGATTCATATTATGGACTGTTCTGTATGGCTTGATTGCAGTCGTCCAACTATAATTTAAGAATACATAGCCACGCGCTGTACCCGACTACGCCACCTACACCTATGACATATTACACAATATCGGCTATCACAAATCTCACCTCCAGATGATCTTTGAGCTCCAATGCCCTGCCCCCTCGACCCAAGGTTTTAACTGCTCTCTTTCTAGCAGGTGTCCTCTTCACCCCAAGTCTTGCATATCTCGCCTTCTCGAAGCTCGGCTTGAAATTTTTCTCCATAGAACCTTACCGCACTCCTATATACCAAATAACTTATTGTCTCTACAACCTGGTTCTCTACTATTAGAATTTGCGGTTGTTCGATCGACAACCCAGACCCTTGGAGCATTGCGATATTCGAAGATACCACCGAATACGACCTAGTCAAAGGCGATGCCTGATAGAATTCCTCCAAGACACAATACCACTCTGAAGTCGACGGGGAAGCTACTGATAAAAGTTTTGGTAGCGACAATAACTGTATTGACACCAAATTCAACTGGCTGCTAGTCATGATAGTTGGAAGCCACTCCGTTTCATCAGAAGCTTGAAACCCTGCGAAGAACAAGGGAGCTGCGTCTTAGAATCGGGCCGTTGAGAGACCTCATGTGCCAGACGCGAGAGTTACTTGGCACCGTGTTGTCCATGTCCCTTGTAACATGTGCTAATATCCAAACATTTACCAAAGCAGAGCACACCCTAGTAGTATTAGTGGTAGTGATAGTATGAAGTCATAGAAACGTATTCGATTAGTTAACAACCATTACGATTTGTCTCTCTTTACAAGTGCTATATACGCAACTTTAAAGAATGGATAGCTCAAGCGACTATCCACCATTCTCTATTTTTTACTCTACCATAAATAACTTTGTTCATCTCAAGGCTCATTGCAGTAGCCGTCAATGAAGTTTACCGTCAAAGTATTCCGATTTTCTTTCAGCAAAGTCTCACGTCCAATGTCTAGCAGCTTCGCAACATCCTGTCGGCAATCTATAACAAGTTTTAGTCTCGCAACAGATGACTCAAAAGCGTCGATACATACCCAAGAAAAGTCCTCTGAGCTCTTTCCCTTGGCCGCTTGCCAGCCACGCACATGTCTGCCCGCAAAGCGACGGCCCATCCTTGAAGAGGTGCTTGAAGAATTCTTCACCACTGATATCGCCATACTTCGCCTTGACGTCGTCCGGCGGACCAGCTTTGCCATGTTAGCATCTTGGGGGCCGTATAATTACAGGGCAATTGCTTACCTCCACCCATGTTGCCGAGTACACCACCGGGATGCAGTGCATACATGTGAATCGCAGGATCAAGGCCATCAAGCTCCATCTCCTTTTGCAGCGTATGTGTTGCGCGGATGAGCGCTGCCTTGGAAGACACGTAACCAAGTGTCATGGGTACGTCGACGGTTCCGGACCGAGAAGCAATGTTGATGATACAGCCGTGTCCGCGGTCGCGCATGCGTGGCAGAATCTCATGTATGAGCATCAAGGGCTGGTGGGAGTCTTAGTCATATTCCCGTTGTTTCTTCTTTGCTTGAACAAGGCAAGACAGGGGTGGCTTACGGCTTTGAAATTGACCTCGATCTGTTTCCAAAAGATGTTGAAATCACCCATGATGAATGGCCTCTGTTCGAAGATGCCCGCGTTATTAACAAGCACATCGATCGGACCTAGCTGCCTCTCCACCTGCGCCAGAACTTCGCCAACTCGGTTCTTATCCGTCACATCGCAAGTAAATGCTTCGACTTTGCCGCCAAAAGCCAAACATGTCTTCTTGGTCTGGATTAGGTTGTTGGCATTGAGATCCAAGATAGCTACGCTGGCCCCAGATTTCGCCAATGATTCGGAAATGGCTGCGCCAATGCCCTGACCTGCGCCTGTTATGAGGGCCACCTTCCCCGCATTGGAACCTTCGAGAGCTTTGGGGTGGATGGGGCCATATGGTTCGTGTTGTAGCGGAAGAGAGCTGATGCCGAATTGAGCTGGATCCATAACGGTGTTAGATTTTGACGAAGTCGAGTAGAAGGTAATCTTGTTCTGTCGCTTTCGGAAAAAACAATCCTATTTGAACTTTGTTATCCAAGGCTCAAAGCGTGGGTCGGCTTGTCTCCGCTGAAGGTTGTTAATGCGGGGTGATTTTGGGGTACCTAGCCCCTCAGAGCTGGTGAAACCGGACATAGAGAACAAGCGAGCCCGCCTTCATTGTTTTAACATGAATTTTGCGCGCTATACTTTTCGTATTTTAAATCTGATACTGGTTTATCAATATCATGCTTCTACTATAATGATTCAGGAAATATTCTAGCCTTTAGGTATACTTAAAGGCCCTTTTTTTGCGTTGTTTTCAGACGACTTTGCACCTGGGCGGCTCTTTCTTCCGACCTCACCCATCTACCGAGAGAGCTGTACATAGCCCCACATCATGGTGTGGGGTACTTGATTGAGGTCGAGAAGTCACTCGATACATGTTCCTAGGCTTTGACAGATAGTTCTTGAGCTATATAATGCGCAAAGATGATACTATAATCAGAAAATATAAACAATGTAGTGTTGAAGCAAGAAGAGGAAAGGTTCCACCACGAAAAGGAACAAAAGATAGGCTAAGTTTAGCGTACTTGCCAGTTGCGCCGAGCGATGTCAAGTCGCGGTGTCGTTTTATCTTTTGATCTTTGACCATTGATATGCGTGACAGTCTGCTAATTCGCGTAATAATGTGCAGTGTGCCAGACGATGCCACTGGACACATGTGGAGACAGTTGGTGTAGGTGGGGTAAATGAGGCACGTGATGACTCCATCTATACAGACCAAAAGCGGTAAGTACATCTCTTACATCACTACTCAATATACCGACTTAGTCATCCGCCTCCCCTGGTCATCAATTAACGTGCAGGGTCAGTAAGCTGGGCAGATCAGTAAGCTGGGCACCCCACCAAACTTCGCGCGACGTTCTGCGCAATTGAGCCACAACAACGTATTAAAATAATATAAAATTAAGATATATGGTTTACTATTTAGCTCTGCATGAAGTCTAAGTATGTCCTTTAACGTGACACTTCGTGCACGTTGGCGGCGCGCGCCGACGTTGCTCACTAGCCTGGTTCTGGCTACCCCCCATAAGTAACCTTTCTGCCTCTGCCACAAGCTGCTGAGCCTGCTACACCTGGAGTACCCCACTAGAAGCAATATATTGACGCTGTTGATCTTGCTTTTGCCGCTAACGCTAGTTCTTTTTACGTAGCTTCTTATTCTCCTCTACAAGTATCGTTGCTAATTGCATTGTAAGCTAAGCGCTCTTAGCAAGCTGGCGTATCGCAAC